TATTTAGTAAATGCAATCAAGTAGAAAAAAATTGTAATTATGAACTATCGCTTGTTCAGCCACAAATGTTTGGAATTTGCAATTTTAGTGAAAGAAAAGGCATTTGGAAACAAACAGATTTTGAAATTTAAATAAGCAAGCACATTCCTTAGTCTAAGAATGAAAATATCTGAATATTTGCTATTTTCAGAATTTCAGTGTGTCACTTTTTTTGCTTTTTAGAGTTGGACTGTGAATTTTTAATACAGTGAAAACTTCAGCCCAAACAAAAAATAGTTCAAATACAAACTAAAGTTGAAATAAAACCCTCTATAGCAACCTTTTTCTTGTCCTTAAAGTGTGTACCTAGTAAATGCTGCCTTTGGGTTTATTAAGGTTGTAAAAATGCCACATTTGAGCTGTTTATATTTTTTAACTCCTCAGAAATGGTWAATTACAGAGTCATATCTTCTTAAATGGCCTTCAGGTGGGGATTCTGAGAAATCCCGGTATTTCTGGGAAGTTCCTTTCACGTGGATTTCACAGTGATGAATCACAACTCCAAAACAATTATGGATCGAGGATACATCAACAGGCAYGAAACCATCTTAGTATGTCCAAGTTATAAAAACAAAATGCTTAAATTAGAAGTTGAGAGTGTCAGGAGATGAAGTAGGCTACCAAATTTTGTGTATTTTGTCATTGAAGTAACTTTAAAAACTGGAGAGCTGAGGGGCTCCGCATGCAGTTGGGTGGCCAAGTTAATTCCAAGCAGCAGCCTGGAAAAAAATAGCAATCTGAGTGGATTGGGATCAAAATGGGCACCCAGCAGCCTCTGATACAAAGCTTTTTTAAACTGCTTTCAACAAGATCACTCTCTTTGCACATCTTATTTCAAGATTTCTCTTGTCCATTTGCTTTCTTGGACATAMCAATGAATGMAATCCATGTCTTCATACTCTTAAGRCSAATGTTGGCAAGAAAAGTTCATTTTTTATTGTGACTTTCCAGGTGAAATTTTAGTTTTCTTCCAAAAAAGCTGAAAATTTCACTGAACTTATTTTTTCCATAGAGTTTTTGGGCACCAAAATTCAAATATATCTGTTCTGGGGGAAAAGAGAAAAGATGGGACAGAGAACTGAAACATAATTTAGAAGAGATCAGTTGTTGTCTGCAAATATTGTTGGTTCAACAGACATGTTTTTTGTAAGACCAGATRATGAATTTCTCAGGTGACAAAGTCTGCCCAACACCTGGCTCTGGCTCTGAAACTTGTGAGTGCACTGGAAAAAGCTACGGAGAGTTGATCTGTGTGAAAGCTTCTGTTGGCTTTTGTAGGTACCAGATCTTGATGATCTCCTGGTTTTTATTACGTGATGTTGATGTTGTTCTTCCATTCTTTGCCCACTTTCCCTCCTGCTGTCTGACATTCATTTGCCACTTTTCATGTGGCATTCAGAGGTGAACACAAAAGGTGGGTCACTGTTGGGTGATCACTTTTTGGCTCATTCTTTGTCTGGTCAACTTGAGCTGACAGAGTCAAACCATACCTTTTTCAAAGGATGTGGTGGATTTACTTATTCCTGTTTCTGTGTTTGATTTACTAGCATATGATTTCATGAAATAAGAACTTAATGTGGGGATTTCTGCCAAGCAACTTTAGGCAAGGCCCATATTCCACAAATCCCTAAATTTCAGGGTGGTGGGTGGGGGAATAATCATAGTTTTCTAGCAGATGTCCATTCTGCCTGTGGATTGGAGTTTGAATTGGTTTGGTATTACTGTTGWTGCTTTAAAAACCTTGTTAAATGATGTTTATTTTCCTCCCATAAGATAATGAACTTGAATTTTTCAYTTCTATGAAGTTGCTGATAACTGTAATAGTTATTCATTCTCTAATTAATAACAGCATCAGAGGTAATAAAGGAGAAATCTTCAAACAGGCAGCATTTCAGGCTTGAACTGGTTTCAGATTCAGACAGGATTTCTTGGAGCTCTCCCTTGCCCTCCAATTTAAGGCCACGCAGACCATGTTTGTTGGTATTTTTAAGTAGATAAAAGTATGTAACAAAGTTCCTCCCTTTAACTGCTGGATAGAAAATCYATATCCTGGTAGCTCAACTGTCCAGATCATGTTGAATTTCAGTGGAAGAAAATAAGTAAATGCAAAGAAGAAAATTGCCAAAGAAAATGCAAGGAGGGAAGAAAAAGTGATGTAAGTTGGCCAAGAAATAAGTTACACTTCCTGGCCCGGCTCTGCGGCAGCATAAATCATCACCACACAGCTTCAGTGTAGCCAATCCACTTCACCAAAGCCTTCATCTCAACCTGYTCTCAACTTCCAGCAAAAGTGTTAACAAAGTTTCTCCAGTCCTAAGGCAGTTTTGCTCATTTCTGAATGCTGATCTTCGCCCTCAAACGCTGATTTTGTCCCAGTCCTCAGMATTGGGGTGGCTGTTGATGCAAACTGAGGTCACAAAGTGATGCCATTGCCAAAGCTGGGCTGGGGAGAAYGGCACACGTGGGCAGGTCTTGTCTCCATTTCTGAGCTGGGTGTCCACTCCTCTTCTCAGAAGGATTTCTAGGTGTCACCCAGCATGGAAAKGTTCCAGGCATTTGGTGATCCTGGTCCACTGCCACTAAACATCTTCAGCAGACTGCTCTTGTTCCTTTTAACTATTTCAAATGAGGCTCTGGACGTGTTTTGGGAAGCAACTCCTTGCAGGTTGTGCAGCTCCTTCGAGCTTGGGGTCCAGGCCAACACACGCAGCCCCTCACCAGAGCTGGCTGTCAAGGCAGCGTCCTATGGGTCAGCCTCAATGATTCTTTTTGCTTCATTTTGCTCTTTCTTGGCCGTTTTGGGTTTGGCTTCAGGTGGCAAAGACCATCAGCCATCTGCCACCCAGCATCTCACGCTGCTCTGGCCTTTCAAGCATCTGAAGCATTCTGCCCAGTGRCACAAGGAATTGTGTCTACATCTTCTCTGAGAGACATCCAGAGCTGGGAGAAAAAATAAAAAATGTCAAGACAGTTTAGTGCTTTTGGCTTATTGTTTGAATATTTAAAGATGTTGCATCTGGAAAGTATTCCATTAATTTGTGGCTAGCACCCATATATCAAATTGATGAGCTTCCAAGTAAACAGCTGTCACTGGAGCTGCCACAGAGGGAAATTGGCACTGCTGGCTTGTGGTGAGTAGAGAGGGAACACACTGGTACAGCCTAATCTATAGAGGAAACATTAACCCAGATGTGTAGAGGACAATGAATGAATTGTTCCTTAGAACTCCTCAACCTCTCAGCTGTAGTAACATGAGGCACAATTAAGGCCTTGGACTGTTCCATTCACGCACACGCACGCACAGAACTGCACACGCTGACACAGCCAGAAAGATGGGGTTGCATCCTGTAGCTGTACAGCATGAAGCAGCCTCCGAGTTGTGTCTGAGGGACAGCTGCCATCCGTGCTGGAGGCAAATCTGTCTCCAGGCTGCTCGGATCATCCTGCTGTCATTTCCTGTTCACGCAGCTCAGAACACCAATGTCCATGGCTGCCTCAAGGAAGACACTGTTTAGCCATGACCCCTCCAGGTGTCTGTGTAACAGGGAGTGCATGGGATGCTTRTCACAAAACTTCAGGTTCTGTGGGGCTGGTGGCAGTGTCAGGGCCTCAGCTGGAGCTGGGATTTCCCATAGGAGCAGCTCTGAGCRATGCAGGGAGTTCTACCTGAAAGTGCCAAGGTGAGGACTCGGCCCTGGGTTTGTAGTGCTGCCAGGAGGGCTCCAGGAGTGTTGGAAAACCCCATGGCAGTTCTGGGGTCTCTGGGACAGGTGTGTTGAGGCACCCGGGGAGGTTGAAGCTGAAATGGAGGAAATGCAGCAAGAAGGGCTTCTCATCTGCTTTCCAGAAGGGAGGATGTGCAGCCCAAAGAGACGAGRTGAGCTCTGCAAGAAGGTGGCTGTGTCAATCCCAGGGGAAACATGGGTGACATGGGAAAACCCACTCCTGCCCAAAAGCTGTTCTGGCATCTGCTCTGGATGTTCTGGTATCCACTGGGCTCGGGATTTACCTTCTGTTTACTACCCAWCCCAGAGTGGGCTTGAACTGGTGACCTAAAGGTGAAAGGCTCTGCATCTTATTAGAATTACTGAGAGCTGCTGAACGAGTCCCCCATGGCAGTTAAGATTTGATTATGGTTCTAGCAAACGTTCAGCTTTTACAATTAGTGTCAAAGCAGTGGTAAGCCCCTCTTTGATTCCTGGGTGTAGGCTCGTGCTTTTCTTAACCTCACACATATGCTGGCATATTTACAGTAAGTGCTCAGGGGTTTGTTTTTTTTAATTATTATTTTTTTATTTTTGAATTAAAAATGAAAGTTCCCCAGGGAAATTATGCAATGGGAAATAGCTACTTCAATAAACTCGACTCACACATTTTATTGATTATGGTAAATTTAATTATTCCATTTAAACATTGCTTACACACACAAACAAAATACCTTATCCTTTTCTTCCTTCATGTTTTTTCCTGGTTTTGTATCCCTCTCTACAGATCAAAACTGTGCTACATGTTATTTTAAACATTTTAGAGAAGAAATACTCAAGGCTAAGCTTCTTCCCCATAATTAAAAATTAGAAAACACACCATAAATCTTATTCAAAACATGTTCTAATAGAACTACTWATTGTGAAACAGAAGTAATTATGGTTTTTAATGTAGCTCTTTTGACTCTGCCATATATTATGTGCACTGCTTTCACTAAGGGAGACAATTATTCAAGTGCAAGGGATGTAAAAAAACCCCAAAATAATTACAAAGCATAGAGTAAAATCAGTATTTCTCTGGCTAGACCTTCATTAGGTGACACTGTTTGTTCTCTTGATACTCAGATATTACCCAGAGGTTTTAGTCTTGTTTGCAGACCATTGCACTGAGGTTTTTAGAGGCTACTGCMAAAAGGCAGTGAAAGAGCTGCAGGTCCCTGGGTCTGAAAACTTACTTCCCTTTTCCTTCTCTTTCAGAGAGCTGCTGCTGCTTCTTTCAACCTGCTGAACGATGTTCAATCCAGGTGATCACTTTCTTCCTTCTTAAGGTCATGAACAGTCCCTTCTTCCCAGGGAAATGCATTTATTCGTTACCCTGTGACTGTTCCATGAATGGGGAAAGTTCCTGAAGATACAGGCCCATGGCACTGAGGTCAAAGCAATCCTCCATGGCTAGGAATTAGGATGTGGGAAGTGGAATTGTCCCTGGAGGTGGAGAATCAGATTTCCAAAACCTATGTTCCCTCCTGAATGAGGGCCCTATTCCAAACCAGTGCATCCCAGCAGTAAGACAAATCATGGTTGCTTTTCCTCCCTGACACTGCAAARTTCAGTCTGGGGAGGAGCTATTTGGGGTTCTGAGCTGACATGTTTTGAAAGGGGAAGAAGGTCCCAGTGTTTGTTCAAGGCTTTATTGCTTCCATATACATCTTTCATCCGAGTTCTTTCATAAGACTGCTAGACCAGGGCTTATCTGAATCTCACAGCCAAATCCTCATCTGGTAAAATCTAAAAAGACCCCATTTATTTTAAGGGATCTACACCCCCTCAGTTTGTTGGGGAGCCTGGAAGGAGCCAGTGAGGATGCAGGGATGTTGAAAGTGGAGCAGCAGGGCTGAGATRTGGAAGGTTCTGGAGGCTGCAGGTGAGCAACATCTCTTTTGCTCTCCTACAGTTCTACTGGTGGCACATTTGACTGCCACCATTCTAAGCACAGTGACCTTCTGGATATCCCCTCTTGATAAAACAYGGACTGGRGACACCTAGATGTCACATCCTTGCRTTYCCTGCACTKCAGTGTAAGTGATTCATGAATCCTGGTAGGTTTCAGATTTATTTCCAGCTATATTTTTGAATAAAGCAAATAAGTACTTGCATATTTCTAAATGACCTGCACTTAAATATAACCACARTCTGATGTAAACTGGCAAGGCTCCCCTGAATTGAAAGGATTCACTGCATCTTGCACCAGCTGAGGATTAGGCCCTGAGATTCAAGCAAACCCTGTTKTGATAACCATGAAAAGAACTTTGATTAAAGATGGGTTTGGAAGCAATCAAACCGAATCATAAGCCTGGCTGGTTTCATTTGTTTTTCTGGCAAGCCATGGATTTCTGAGAATACARCCTTGTTGCAATATGTATTACACCAAATCCTTCAGCTGATGAGCCCATTGCCACAGATGTCACTGTCTGTGCCATAACTCCCCAAAACRTTTCCATTTCCTTCCCTCTAATTGTCACCACACTTGCTCTGTCCACCGTGGCCAGGGAACTTAGCCACGTCTGATCCCAGACACAGCTTTTGGCCTGGATGACATTGASAATTATTTTGCAGATGGGCCAACCTAGGACACGTGTTCCCACTGGGATCAGCACTCTGCTCCCCCCTCGCTGCCTCCTTAATGAGTAAGAGAGCTTGGACCAACAGCCAGCTCCTCAAATGGCAAYAAAAGACTCCTTGTCATTACCCAGGCTGGCTCAAAGTGCAGTAGAAAAGGGGATTTTTGGCAGAGCTGCAGATTGCAGTCACAATATACAGCTCCTCACTGCTGCCAGTGATGCTCTCTGCTGAGTTATGGAAGTCATCTCCTTGCCTCCCTTTCCAGAGCTGTGGCTGTGGGCTCTGTGAGGACTGGCACGCCGGGACACATGTCATGGGTGCCTCCCGTGGTGATACAGAGAGAGACATATGAGCAGTACTCCAAATGGAATACCTGACAACAAGGAACTTTGAAACCTGACTCAAGAGTTCAAGAATCACTCCAGAAGAAAAATTCTTCTTCCCCCTTCCCTCCCAAAAAGTGAGCCTGAGTCAGTTGTCTCCATTCCTGCTTTCCATKTTTCTTGTATAAAACAATCTGCATGAAAACTTGAAGGTGAAAAAGCCAAAAGCTTYATGCTGTAAATTTTGAAGCAGCACAATTGCAGTGCTCTTAGCATTTTTGTTTTCCTTCTGAATGTTTTCCTCTCAAAGCAAAGTGCAGTCAAAAAAAGCAATCTTTTTTGCTAAGTGATTCCCTTTTGACGTATTTCAAAGAAAGAAATGTGTATTCCTTATGTTTAGCCTTTTAACCACATACGTATACGGTTATTCACTTCTATTTTCTACTGCTTCAGACAAAGCAGAATCCAAGTGYCCCTTGGAATCCTTGCTATCCCAAAACACACAGACCTCAAGGTCTGAAGGAGGTTACAGTCTTATTTCTTCCCTGCCCTTTATTRTTATCATTATTATTAGTGGCAATAGCAATTGCTGTCCAGTGTGGTGCTGCACATCTGCAGCTCCCGTGGAAGTCCTTTAAAGAAAACTTGCCTGGGATGTACAGGCACTGTGGTCAGTCCGGAGCACCTTGCAGCCCTTCTCCAAATGCAGGAGGAAGAAGGGCATCGTCACAGAGGGAGAATTTGGAAGTTAAGGAACCCCTCGCAGGCAGAGGCTCCCAGGATGCTTAAGTGGAACATTKCCTGCAGTGCCTTGCTCCTGGCTGGAGCTGAAGATACCCAGACATAGTGTGCTGATCACCTGCTTTGTTTCACAGCAGCAGTGYTGCATTTCCTCTCCTGCTCTTCACAGGAATCCCTTGATTTCATGGGGGTAAAAAATGTCTTCATTTTTCCATATATTTTCTGATTTCTTTAGCCTGTTTTATTCACTGACTCATTTCATACACTGGAAGTCATAATCAGTTTTTAAGCWTCATTTATTTTTGCTGTTATTGGTTAGCTCCAGAAGGATGCTTTATCTGCCCAAAGGCCCAGGCAYGTGGGTTTCTTATTTTGCCCCGATTCCCCAGGATTTTATTATATTTCCCTGGAATTTATCTGTAACATGCACTGCAGAGCTGCTCCCAGGAGAAAAGGTTGAGAGTCCTACATCAGTAACTGACCTGAAGCAAACCTGGTGAGGACAGCCCTATGCCCTCAGAACCCTCACCAGCCCCCTTGGCCATGGGGATGTTGTGTCATTTACCTGCTGGCTGGAATCAGTGTCACTGCACACCCGGACATGCCTGAGACAAGAGCAGCTGCTCATGCCCCATCTCTCTCGCTGCTCTTTTCTCTTTCCAGACTTTACTACATTTATCCTCTTAGCACCTCTGTAATTATCTCTCTCTAACAGATGACAACCAGAAGAACACGGAGGTTTTGTAATATTAGCTGGGCCATGCAGGAGCTCTTTGGCAGAGGAGGTGGCCTCCTGAGGGGTGAGTAATGTCCTTTTGACAATCCCATTAGACTCTCGGTTGTATTCTTACACACCTAGAGACAAGCCCAAGGTCACTGAACCTGACCCTTCTGGGGCTGATGGCAGCCTTTCACCACTGTCCTTCCCAGTCCCCAGCACAATTCCCAGAGAACAGATATGCAGAGCAATTCCACTCGGATTCACTTTGAAGCTCAGGTCTTATTTATGCCAGCAATGCAAATATCATTTTAGTTTGACAAATACATAGAAAATTCACAGCAGCTGCAGTTGTTGTGTGCAGTGTCCTGCAGAATAATTTTGCCCTCACAGCTGTATTTTAACTTGAGTGACTGGAAAAGGGAAATCAGAGGGTGCTTGGCTTCAAATGTATGTGTATGGCCAGCTTTACTGAGCAGCTAAACCAAGGAGARCTTTACCAGGAACCTGACTATGGCTTTTACACTCTGAGTCAGCAGCAGGAGTGGAGTGGAGGCAGCYGGGGCAGCTTCAGGGAGGCTCATGCTGAGCTGAGCAGACTCTGTAAAACAGAGCAGTGAGGCCAGGTCTGCTGAACATCCTTCCTGCTGAGTGAGTCAGCAGCAGGTTAATTAGGCATAGCTGGGCAGGGAGCAGCAGTTATGACAGAAGAGGCTTTAGTTGATAGGATCATTTTCAGCACAATAATATTAATTAGCARTTGTGATAGGGAACATGAGGGAGGTGGAGCACTTTCTGTCAAGGTATTTTTGTAAGGAATTAGCCTGTATAAACAGCCATTGTAAATACATTGTCCTTGTCAGGTGTAATAACTGCCTGGGCACGCGGCATCCCTGCTCACAATGGAAAGATAATTCAAGACACAATTCCACACTCAGGTCCTTCTCCCAGCTGCTAATTGTGTCACTGGAGAGATCCAAACAATTATAGCAGGAAAACGCTGGGGGACTGTTAACAGTAATTTCCAAAATGTGGACAATAAATAGCTTGAGAAAATGCTGTGAGCGTTGAGCCAGCCTTGGAAAAAGCTAGAGGAAAAACTGTATTTCTGACGCAAACATGGAAATTTGAAATGGGAGTGAGGTGCCTAAACATCTTGGAGGAACTTAGACCCTGAGCTTTCTGAAGCCAAATCCCACCCTAGTCTAGAAATAATTTCATATTTCACAGCCTTCACATTTTCCTCAGACGAATGTTGTTCTTAGAAGCTTGTACAAGGAGGGCTGAATCCTGAAGACATTACTTAAAGGAAATTTCTATTCATGTCCCTGAATATTCACTACTGATAATCCTAGTAATAATTCTCATGAAAAACTGTGTTACATTGAATGTTGTAATTTATGATGTATGGTAAACATAATATATTGTATAATTCAATATTACAGGTCTGCATTACATACCTGCAATATTATGCTCTGATAATTAAACCAATTAAAGTGCAGTTATGTGCTCATTAAACCCAAGAAATATGAGATGTCAATCAATTCTGTGTTTATCAAGATGAAATCTTATCAAAGTCAAATGATTCAGACCTTCAAACCAAATGCTCGTTTATGTCTCCATTTAACATACCTGGAGAACGTGATCCAGAAAATGCCTGTATAGACACTGCAGAGGGAACTGCTCCTGGATATTTTTACCTCTTTGGTTCCCATGATTCATCCCAGCAGGATATTCTGTTGCAATCATAACATTTTAAATACTTAACACCATCCCATGATTCTTTACAGATCTGATAGAAGCAAAGCACAGCTCCCAGACAGGTATGGAAGTTTTGTACATTGTCTCAGAGAATGCCAGAATTACTTAGGCCGAGTTACCCTGCTGTGGTCAGATGCCTTTTCCCAGGTGCTGCAGTTCCTAAACTGGCCCCTGCAGAGTTGGCAGGTTCAGCTCTCCCTCTCAGCKCAGAAGTGATCCTGAATTAGTTCTTTTGAAGTCATCTGGGACTGCCTGCCTGRAGCAGAACACTSTACTCTGGAATAAATATACTTGGGRCAGAAATCTTCTTTCCACTCAAGTCCTCCCATGGCTTCTATGGTGGGGACAACGTTTTGGGCAAAACCTCACTGTCATCCCAATCAGTTGCTTGGAGTTTGCTGGAGCTGAGTGATGGCAATTCTGGGCTTTTGCTGGGTGTTGAGGAGAGAAATTTGGTACAGCTGTGCTGGTGATCGCAGAGGCTGCAGAAGGAAGAATTCAAATCATACAGAGAGGCMGCAGAGAAATGGCAGTGACAGGCAGTTAACTGAGCTGGGTCCTGAGAGTCAGAGATATTTCAGGCTATGGAGGGTAAGGACTGCCCTCATGTTGTTTGAGCTGAGATGTTTGAGCATCTGTGATGAGCATCTAAACGCTTGGTCTGGACTGTCATATCTAAGGGGGGCTCCAACRACACTGAGCAGTAACAACACTGATGATGATGATGCTACTGAGAGTCTGATGATGGTGACTTTTTCATATGGTCCAGAAAAGCCCCACACCTCAGGTTCAGCTCATCCCAAACAGAGGAGCTGATGGTTCATACTGATTTCTGGTTGGAGGAGAGTGTTCATGCCCAGAGATTGAGTCTGCAGGGAGAAAAGAGAATTATGGGATTAATTCGCTATTGTGAGTAACAAGATTATGATCAGAAAAGGAGGAGGGAGTGAGGAAAATGTTGCTATTACCAAAATGAAAGAATTTGGATATAATCATAGCAGTTTGGGTAAATGTGTTTCTAAAGACCTYGAGAGAGGTCATAATGAGAGTTTACTTTGTAGATCTATTCACAGTTTACAAGACCATATGCCAGTTCCCAGTGGTGTCCATAGTGAACAGCAGGACATCAGTAATTTTCCAGATGTGGCTTCCCCCTTAGAAGGAGAACAAAACCATTGAGAAGAACTGGARTGACCCAGCACTGGGAGAGCTTCTGAGCTCCTTTTGACTGGGATGCYCTCATGAATAGTTTGGTTGTTGCCTGGYAACAYTGGCATAAATTCTCCAGTGTGACTKAGCCCACAAGAGAGGAGAGACTCRGAGAGGGATCAYAGGTTCTAATTTTATGGAAAAGTACTTATTAAACAGTGCAGAAGGGTGCATACCATAACATCTATCCTGGACACCTGATGAGCATTTGGAGCCACAAAAGTAGTGGTGGAGAGGGGAGGGATGTTTGGTGCCAAGAGAGCATTACTGCCTTGTGAAATGTGCCAGTGCAGAGAAGGTCACAAACTCAGCTTCTGCCCTAAGCTTTCTCTAACTTCAGCAAAAATGGACTTGTCTGATCCCCTTTGGTTAGATCCTTCCATCACCCACCCTTGGAGCTTGGCATTGCCTCTGACCCACCGCAGCACAAGCACTTCCCAGGTCTGAGCACGCAGCACTGGGAATTTGCAAGGGACTGTGGAATCACCGGCTCTTCTCCTGGGTTTGCTTAGAGAGAGTAGTGGTTGAGGGTGCAACCTTTCAGAGGAGTGGACTTGCAAGAGATACCCCAGTGAAGAAGAAAGAATTCTGTTCCCCAGGAAAGGCATGTGGAATCATTTGATGTCTTCTGAGGGTTGTTCTTGCACCATTGCTCCAGGTTGCTCTTTACCTCTGTCTTGTGTGCTTTGTCCCTGTTTGTGATTGAAATTAGCTCAGGGAAAGGAGCTGCTACAGTCCGGTGACAAGACAACAGTTCCTGATGTCACCCTGATTCACAGCTTGCTCTGGAGGGGCAGGGAACCATCTGAGATCCACCACAAGCTGCCAAATGCCTGCACAGTAGCTTCAGGTAGACTCTGGCTCAGGGCTGGGCTTTGCTTGCACCTCTGGTTGCAGTCAACATCTTGTCATTTCCCCAGAATAAACAGAGGGATTGTGACAGTCACATCTTTCCATGGGAGCAAGGAGTGGAGGTTCCTGGTGAGCTGGAGAGGGAAGGAGGAAACTCCTGTCAGTGACTGTTCCTCTCAGGGCAGTGGCACATCAGGAGCTGCTGGGCCAAGGGAGCTCTGTCTGCCCAGGAGCTGTCGAGCCGAGCAGGAGAGCAGCTCCAGCAGGACTGTGCCAAGGAGCAACGTGCTGCTCTCCATGTTACGGAGCATCGGGCCAGGGGCTTGGAGACCAAAAGGAAAAAGCCCTCATGGGAGATGGCCTATATTTAATGAGCCCAAACCTCTTCCACAAATTAAGTGAAATATTTTAAAAGGAAACAATATTACTTTGGTTTTATTTGTTTCAGCTACTARGTTACAGCTCCACGTGGACACGATTGATGGAGGAAATAGAGTATTTTACAAGCCCAGGACTCTGAGATAAATATTTTGTGACCATGTGAAATTCTTTGCCCTAATCACCACACATTCCTAGGGAGAAGGTTGTATATTGCCGAAGATTATTAACCTTGGTTCCAAAAATGTGTCTAGTCATTGAAAGACAGAGGTCAAAAATTGTCATGGCATTCCTCAGTTTGCCCTCCCCTTTCCACTAAAGTCATGGGATCCATCTCTGGATCAGGTCTGCCCTAATAAAGTATTCCTCAGCAAGGAAGAGAGAAATTACCTTTCCACTGGAGCAAGTTTAATTTTCCAGATCCCTTTCAGACTCCCTGTGACTTCATGTAAGTCACTTGGRCCTTCAGCACCTTATTTCTCCATGATTTGGGGTTGTTTGTTTTTTGTTCTTTTTTTTAACAGAATATGATTTCCCCTTTAGTTGCTTATTTACAGGATGATATTTTCACACCAGTGAATCATCTTGTTTTGGCGGTATCTAACACCAATCTCTCTGATCTTTGCTGGTGAGAGAATAAAAACAGTTTGAAGTAAAACCTGGGGATGARCGTTGTTTAGATGAAGAATTTCATTTATGCCCTGTCCTGCTTTCTTGATGATAGGTAATGACAAGAAGCCACCCTTAGAATAAAAAAAATAATGTTTTTTCAGTCTTCTGGGACTGCTTCAACATCAGAGCTGGGACCTAAAAAATACCAGGACTGGGAGTTCTGGCAGGAGCAGGTGGGGCAGCAGGGTGTGATTTCTGGTGGAGAGAGCAGATCAGTTCCTTAGGTGTCTAAGGTCTTATGGGCCACATTGATGAGCCTTCCCCTTCTCCCAGGGAGTCTTAAATATTCTCCCTTTCAGCTCCCAGAGCCATGCTGGGTAGGCTGCACTGCAACAGGCTCCTGCAAGAGGAGTAAACAACACCTCGTGGATGCAGTAATCAGTGCAAATGTCCCGACAGTGAACCCAGCAGAGGAGTGAATAAACAAACACCCCCCTTTGCCTTTGCCTTCACCTTCCCCTCCGCCCCGATGATAAATTTGGGTTACTGTACACATCACTCCTCGGCCGTGCAGGGCTGCTGTGAATCCATTAGTAGGGCAAGGGTGAGTGACTTCTGACTTCAGTGACCCTTAGAGTTAATCCAGCATTGTAGGGGCAGAATTAAATGTGATGAGCTCAGAAAGTGTGATAAAACCAGATTTAAGTGCACAGCTGGACAGCAACCTATAAAGGCAGAATTTAAAACCGTAATAAAAACTTTGTAATCTAATTACGACAGCAGAGTTAAAGGTGAGGTATTTGCAGCATGATTCACATGCACCATGGCTAACCTCTGACATCTTGAATATATTATGTGGTTTCTTCACTACAGGAGTAATTTTTGAGTTACTCTCTCACACTACATCATTCCCTAYGTTTTATTCTCATGCATTGTCTCTGGAGGTTGGAAGGCAGGGCAAAAGCATCTGCTTTCTGTACTTCTGGCTTGATWGGTTTCAGGGCTGCTCCCTGCCATGCTCTGGGCACCCAGRCAGGGGTTGCAGCAGGTGCACAACACCTCCAAAAAATTGCAGCTCCTGAGAGARTCTGAGGAGAAAATGCAGCAAATGRCCACATCTCGAGCTGGTTTTAGCCTAGCTAGACTTKGTACCAGTGGGAGGGAGGATGCAGAGGAAGTTAGAGCTTGGAGGCAGGATACAGTCCCAAGCCCACTCACTGTCATCCTGTCTTCGTTGCAGTTGGCACCTAATTAACACCACCACAGATAACAGCAGTCTCTCTGATTTCAACGTGTACTTGTCCAAACACCAGAGGGAGGGGAAAACCAGCCTGTGAACCCTGCCTGGCTCCCCTGGACCGCTGCCAGTGGCTTGCTTTGCCCTCTCCTTCAGAATGCTCTTGCCAGGCTGGACACTGCCAAGTGGGACAACAACCTCAGATCCAAGTCTGACATCTGCCAGCAGAGGGGATCCACACTGAAGCAGAGCTCTTTTTCCTGGCTYATGTTAAGTGTTGTCCAGCATCCCAACAGCATTTCATGTATGGGGAGATGCAGTGGTGGGATTTAGCCAGGTTTGCTCAAGTTGGCAACTGTTGGGCAGTTCTCTAGAAAGAGCAGCTGGAGACATGTCACTTCCTTTAGCCAGCCTATGTCAAGACAGAAATTTCAAAGTAGGAATCTACCCCATGTGATAGTTATGATTTTTTAAATTCATCCCAGACAGCAATTCAAAAAGGAGCAAAAATGCCTGAAGAAAATCTTACTATACAGAAAGATGTATCTRTATGAAGTCTGTAAAGCTCTATGTTGGGGGGGGTTCAGCTAAAATAGCTTAGTATCGTTTCTGAAATCAATTTGTATTTCATTTGATTCTTTTCTTTTAAGTCTGTTTGACACAAGCTCTATGCCTACAGGATAATGCTCACAGGATGGGCCAAGGACAGCTTTGTACATTCAGCATTCCAAAATAAACTACATCCTTCYTCAAGGCAGTGTGAACCCAGCTGATCAATCTCCACAAATGCWGTTCTTAAACTGGTGAAATATTTCCCATGTTTGTGAAACCAAACTGAAGCAGATCTGTTGCTTAGGTTTCCCCAATGAGTAATTCAGTAGTATTTTTCCTCAAGGAAATTAAGAATTTTTAAGATACTGTGCTTCAGAACATGTCCTGCTTTTTGGTCTTTTATGAAACTCAGAGGGGAACAGCAGAGCYCTCAAGGACACCCTGTGAAGGGTTCAAGGTGATGCTCTCCCAAGGGAAGAGGGGTGTGAGAGTCATTGGCTAAAATAGGTGATTGGTATCAGCATGGGTGGAAAAGAGGTGTGGAGTGCTCTTGGAAAGGGATTGCTCAAAATTCCAAGTACACCTTACCTTGTGATCAAGGGCCTGTCTCAGTATGGGTATTTAAGAGACAGAGAYCTGCTTTTTGCTTTAGAGAGAAAAAGATGTTCTGGGCATGTATTGAGGTTCTATATACACTTCTGTTATTGCTGAGAGAMCTTCATCCCAAACTATCCTTCTATTCCCAGAGCTGTACAACAGCTACACCAGGAGAGAACCCTGCACAGGACACAACAGCTTTTAAAATGTTATCAGGGACTACCAGAAAACACCACCACAAACACTCTGAAACACAGGAAGGAATCCACCAGTTCCAGGAAGACAGCAAGGATCAAAAGAGCAACGTGCCAGGTACAAATAGGGTGAGATCCCATGGAGCCCAGGCCAGCAGCCACACACTGCCTGCTCYGGTGGGGTTAGAAATCCCATCCTGTATGACAGCTCCCTCATGCTCCAGCTCCCTGTGCACGGAGAGAATAAGGGAGCATTTAACACCCTCAGTCTGCAAGACACAGACAGGAGGTGGTAAATACCTTGATAAGGAAACTGGAGTGAAAATACCAGCTTTAGGCAATCCAGATTTTATCAGGGAAGTATGCAGGAATGAGTAACTGCCTGACATGCAGATGTGCCTCTGCACAGTGCCAGCAGCCTGCCAGTCCAGCAGCTGGCCTCAGGCAGCACASTCCCACTTCCAAACTCATGTGATTTCGGGGGGATGTTGGGCAGATATTTTTGCATGGGGTTCTCACTTAGGCAATGGCAGTGCCCAGAATCTGCAGCTCCGCGCTTGGAAGAATCCCTAGATTTTGCACTGGAGACTTGTTTTTCTGCTGTAAGAAGCAGTTTGGCTTGTGAGCGAAGGCTGTTGCTCTGCTCAGCAATGACATGCATGTCACAGCATGGAAATCCATGCGTGCTAGTTGAAAACAAGATACTGGAATTCAAGGGCTGGCAAAGTCATAAAGAAATTAATCCTGTGAATTGCTCAGTGAATGGAGCAATGGGGTCWCGTAGGCCATTGCTGTCACTGTCACTCTGGGACCAAGGGAAGACTTGTGCCCAGTCCCATAGTCTCTGCAAGGTGAGTCACAAATTTGGTGGGAGTGGTTGGAAACTGAAGTGCTGTGAGCTGGCACAACACATAAACACACTCTTGAAAAGATGTGGAGATCGTGAAGAAATTCGCCAGGAAGTACAACACTCAGGGAAGTTGTAACAACACCAAGGSTGTCAGAGTTCAAGGAGTGTCTGGATRATGCTTGTCGTTGTATGGTTTATTTTTAAATTGTCCTGTGAGGAGGTGGGGAATTGTGCTCAATGAACTTTATGGGTCCTGCCCAACATGAATATGTTTGATACAGACAGTTTGAAGAATTGTTGCTTGGTCTCTAACTGCAGCCCTGGACTCCAATACAAGGTAAAGGACCTGCCTGTTCGCTGTTCTTCCTCATGCTCCAGCTCTCTAGGGAACTCATGGCCTGGGCTGTCATCAACCAAGGTGGGAAATGCCTGTTCAGAGAGCCTGTCCCTGCTCTGGCAATGCTGTCCTGATGTCTTACAGGCTTTTGGTCCTTGGTGTTTGGTCTTTGCATTGATTCTTCACCAGGTTTCTCTAGAAAGAAGGTACAACCAGTCCATTACTTGTAATGGTGGGAAGGGGAGAGTAGGAAGAGCTTGGCAGCTCAGAGGGATGTCCTGGAAACCTGAACGAGAAGAAAGGAGAGCCTTGCTGGAATGATAAGGGGCTGGRGCAGCACTCATCGCTGTGCCACACCAGGAGATCAGCTGCCAAAGGAACACAGGCAATCTCCTTCTTGGGATGGTGCTTAGTGGGGCTAATGACAACCATAAGTAGGGAAAATATGGATGCTATTGGAGAGAGAGGCCCGGGAATGGATAAAGAATAAATTGGCTGTGCTGTGTACAGAGAGGGCCAAACAGATGTTGGGCATGATCCAGAGCCCATTGAGTTAATGGAAAGGCTCCCTTTGGTTTCATTGGACGCTGTCTCAGACCCATTCCAGCTTCACAGGAAGCAGTGGAGACCAAGAGCAATAACTTGTGGTGACTGGAGTGGTGTGAGTTGCAGAGGTGTGGGCTGGGGGAGTTCATGCTGAAAACAGATGGGTCTGACAGACTGGTCCCTTTGGGCTGGGTGACCCCTCTGCCCGCTCCCCCCACCTGGCCATGAGCAGCCTCATGTGTCTTCAGTCCTCTAGCCAAAATTTTGGCACAATTCTGACCAGAACAGGCTTTTCTGCCTTCTGATACACCCTCCTACTCAAGGAGGTTCCAATGTGGTCTTGTGGTGGCCCAGGATTTAGAAACCAGTGATTTGAGCCATCCACAGAGAAGGAAGAAAGCAGGTCTGCTAAGAACTGTTGACCAGGGAGGAATTTTGTTGTGGACCAGCAAAAAAAAAATAATGTAAAGCAGGTGTTTCTGCAATTGTGAGACATTTGTAAAGCCAATGCGTCCAACAAGTCTCCCACTCACATTCTGGTCCACGTGACGTGGCAAGGTCTGATGCGGAAGACCGCAAATAGAAAACATCTCTCTGTACTAGTTGGCGTGCACCAGGGCCTCCCTCCCCTTTTGCTCTCTGCTTTTCTGTTWATTTAGGTGTGTGTCTTTGTTTCTGTTTTTACATTTAGCACAAGTGGAGAGGAAGTGGGATTTCATACAGCTTAGGAGGCTGGAGCTCAGCACACGTCAGAGCAAGGGCCTTTATTTGTCCTCACTCTGCAGGTGCAAGTGTTTGCAGGCCAGAGCCTCACTGGTGTGAACTGCCCCAGGCTCCACGAGAGYTCCCTCCTCTGAGCCAACCCCATTGAGGAGGTTTGTGGTGTCCAGAGTCACAGACAGACCCAGGCAATGCTTAGGCCATGCTGGTCTTGTGTTTAGGAGTGGGAACTGGAAGCTGAGTATCCTTTTTCTCCAGGTGATGGTACCAGGAGGAATGGATCAGTCGTAGCATGCAAAGGTGCCTCAACAAACAGCAGATGCTGTTTTGTTCAGGTTTGTGAATTTACTGGAAATGTCATTTGGAGATGTTGAATTTAGTTGAATTTAGGCCAACTTGGAGAGGGGCAAGGAGAAAGTTTTAAGGGTGAGTTCAGGGCTCTTCTCAGCACTCCCTTTCCTTCTGCAGCTGTTCCTCTGTCCAAACGTGTACACACAACACCAGAGCCAACCATGGCTTGCACTGAGCTGCAGTGTAGGTACTTAAACAGGTTTAAATCATGACCCTGCAACACCCRATCTCCAAAACAGAATCTCTTGCTCTTATTTACATTAGTGCAGTTCTAGCCCTGTTTAAAAAGAAGCTGATACTGAGACAAGTGGCAGAACTTTCTGTGTGAGGTAAGGTCAGTTTAGGGCTGGATGAATTGCCTGGCAGGAAGGTTGTGTGGAAGTTTGGCTATTCCACCGTAACACAGCTGTAGGAGAACGCCCCAGCCCTGACTTCCAGTCCTCTTTTTAACCATGCTGGCTTGTTTACATTTGGGTGATAGATGGGTGGAGCCATTATTCCAGTGTTTTGGCTTGTATCCGTCTGCTTGGATGTCAACGTAAACTGCTGCAATTATATCATAATCATGGCCCGCYATTGGAAATGATTAGTCTGTTCATTTTCCATAAATATTGGCTGGCTGGCTTCACCTGGCAGAGGCTGGGAATTGTCATGGCAGAGATGAAAGTCCAGAGAATATGGGGATTCATAACTCCATGACAGCTACTGTGTTTTCCAGTCTAACAAGACTGTTGGATTTAGACAAGAGCAGGACACTGGACTGGGATTCGGGGAGCAATAGAGAAAGTACAGGTATTTCAAAGCAAGTGCTGTTTTAGTCAGAAAGGGAATTTCTTATTCAAATAAGCCCAAAACTAATGGGGGAACTTTCAAATGTCAGCGGAAAGTTGAAAAATATCCAGAATCCAGACTTTATAATTAAATAGCACTTCCCATTCCTACATCTCCAGCATGGCGGCCTTTGCTCTTCCACACCGACCAACTCCAGTGGGCAGAACCGCACATAAAATGTAGCTGTGAATGAACTTCAAGGCTGCTTATCCTACAAATGGGCTCTAATTCCAAATAACACTGATGCCAAGCAGGTTTMTTTTCCCCAGGACTCAGGCATACAGCACACTTTCCGCTTTTGGAGCTCATCATTCCATAACTCCAGAAATTGCAATATAAACCTTGGCTACTACTCACACTTCAACTTGAAAACACAGCAGTGATCTGGGATTTTAATTCGAGCAAATTTGAGAGTGGATTAGAAATAGGATCCAGATGCATCTCTAATAGTGAAAAGAAAAATTAGCAGAACATTGGAGCTGAAATGAATTCTGCCTTTCTTTCAGCTTTTTTCCTTCCTTTGCTTTATAAGAGGAATTACATAGACCTAAAGTGCCATAATTAAATTGTAATTTGTTCCTTTCCTTGGTAGAAGCTCTGCCCAGCTGAACACATCTCAGTTTCCATCCTGGGCATTTACCTACAGCACAGGGCTGGGGGYGGGGGGCAGTTTCTTACTTGTTTTAAGAAATGAGGAATCAGAGGCATGCACAGCCTGTCTGGTAGAGTCTTCAGCGAACGAGCTGCCAGGCTCTGCAGGTTATACATCATTAGCACACAGAGTGTCCAGGAGAGCCCAAAGCTTGTGCAGGTGTGCTGGCAGAGCTCGCACTGCTTCCCTCCCTCCACCCTCTCCGCCGCACTTCCAGCTTCAAGCTGATACTTGAAACCCGATGTGGCAAAATCACAGAGAGCTCCTCTCGAGTTGTCAGCTCCCARCTCACCCAGCAGACGTGACTGTGAGAGGGCGCGTGGAGCCTGGAAGGGACTCGCTGGAAAAACAAAACCATCGAGTCAAAAGCTTAGTGTGTTTTTCCATGAGTGTATGAAAAAAGTGTGAGTGGTTTTTTTAAGCGCATTCAGATATTAGAAGTTTAGCACAGAGACAGCTTTTTTTTTTTTTTACTCTTTTTTCCCCTGCCCTTGAACTTTAGGAATGATTATAGGGAATATATCCCAGGCTGTTTTCAATGACCCATTCACACRGTGGGTTTATTTCAGCTTTTCCCAGAAGGGAGTGAGCTTCATTCGACCTCTGCTCTGRCATTAGCTGCCATTATTTGTGCATSCTGCTCAGATAATCAATAAAGTGGATGGCATCTGAAAATAATTATACACACAGCTCTTCCCCAGCTTCCAAGATGAAGACAGAAGCTGGGAAAGGAGCCTTTGCATATTCAGCACTTGTTAAAGGAATGAAATATAGTGCTCTGTGTGTTATTGTTGTATCCCGAATCCTGGGCATTCAGCAGCAGTTTCTTTCAACGTTGCGTAGCACTCTGGCCATATGCACCTGAACACAAAGCTCATCAGCTTTCCCACCCTTCCTGACTTTGCTGGAAAAGTTGTGCTATCTGCTCGTGTGGCACGCCACAGGACAAGAACTCCTGTTGGGAGGAAGGATCTAGCTGGGCCAGTGCCCTCTTTACTTTAAGGGACATCACCACAGCTGCATTTTTACAGCCAAATGTCTTGGCCTAGAGCCAAGGTGACAAGTGGGTGGCCTGTGCAAGGTGTGGTGTCTCTCTGGAGCATGGGATGAGCTTTTCCAGCCGGAAACCATGTTCAGCTCCTCAGCTAAAATGGCAAGGCTCTGTCTCTACATGGCTCTTGGCAAAGWCACCTTGAGATGTCCATCAGGCTCTCACTGTCTACTGAAGAATCTGATTCAGGTTCTCCATCACCCGACAGAGTCCTCCCAGCCAGGAAAGTAGTGACTCATGTTGTATTAGAAGATATTTAATGTCTATTTTAGGAGCTTTGCAGCCTCAGCTTCCCTTCAGGCAGTGGCCAAGATGAACCATTGTCATGAACCTGAACATTCCCACTGCAGCCTCCCCGAGCAGCATCAGCTCCAGATGCCAACATGGGGCCTCCAAGCGGAGCAGGCAGTAGGAAAAGAAGAGGCACCCATTTTGCTAGGGCAAGGTGTAATTGCAGGGTAAGGCTGTGTCCTTTTCCTCCTGCAKCCCTGGAGAAGCTTTTTGCAGCGCTGTCACTATGGGGACTACTAGATTCTGTCTATGGCCCTGCTCAGGTTTAATGGACTTTCCACAGAGACTCTGTTCACAGTCTCCATTGAAAGCAGGGGAGAGGTGAGGTGGAGCAATGGTCTGACCCAGTGTGGCTGTTCCACACGTTTCATTCATAACTTTCTCTCTCCTGAACTGTAGAAGGAATACCTTGGCTGGGCAGTCTGGAAAATCCTGTAACGCCTGCAAGCGCTGACCACTGGCACATCTGGAGTCTGGCAGCTGCCTCCCCGGAAGGAGCTAAGGACATAAGCAACCTGCTGCTCCCAGCAGGTTTCCCAGGGCTATTTCACATATCTGGACTGCAGCAATTACAGGAGAGCAATTATTTTTTTCCATTACTCTGGGGTCTCTGCTATCTCTTAATCTAGGCAGCAAGCAGAAGTGTTTGCTGATGGCCTGCTCCATTGTCCATCCCCAGCTTTTCTCTGTGGTGGTACATTGTTTGTGGTGCTGTCTAAATCCTCCTGCCAGCCCCAACAATAACCCACACAACCCCAGCGTGTCRGGAGCTTCCAGGCTGAGGAGAAACTGATCCTGCTCAGCTCGGCTCCGTTTGTGGCAAAGTGTTTGCTCAGCGATTAACTCCTGCACGGACACACACAGCCACAAATCTCCAGGTTGTCTCACAGCCTTTTCATTCAATTAAGTCTGTTGACTTAGTCTCATTTTGAGCAGTAACTGGATTTAGATAAGGCAGTGGAAAGCAAAACATCAATTGTGTGATTCCTGGCCCAGCCGGTATGTTGATCCGAAGGGAATGTTTGTGCGGGCGATAACGGAGGCAGTGCAGTGATTAGGAAAAAGTCATTTGGTGCAAAGACTTCCACGGAGTAAAAACTCTGTGTTAAGTGCAAGCACTGGCCAGAGGAAGCAGAGGGAGCTGCCTGCTTCCACAAAGTCCCTCTTTGCCTCACCTGATGCGTTGTGCTGTGAACACACAGTGATGGAGAGGTCCTGGTGGGTCTGAAAGGGGAATCACGGTGGGCTCAAGACCAGGGAGTCCCACTGGGTGAATGGGCTGTGCTGGAGCCCAGCTCCCAGAACCGTAACTGCTGCAAGGTTCTACAGGGATGTAATCTTTCGGGATTCAGCCAGTTACTCTTTGTCAGAAATAGACCAGTTATTCTGGGGTAATTCCTTCCCACAAGCTATAGGGCAGGGGTTTACAGTCAGTTTCCCAGGGGCTTGGTTTGCCCAACATCTCTGGGAAGAGGAGATGCAGGTGACACACCCTCAGCATCCACTCCTTAGAGTACAGGTTTACAGGCAGAAAAATCCTCTATCTACAGTCACTGCTGTCTCCCCATATAAGCAAGATGAAAGAAAGTTCTATTTGCAAACAAACATTTTGGTGATGCACTCCTGTGTCTGCGACTGCTTTCAGGCTGTAGTCAGAAAATATATCAGGGAGACATCCATTGTTCTGTTTGTCAAAAGTGTGTTTCTAATCTGTTCCAGGTAACTGTTAGGCTAATGGGAAGCAGAGGACATTCCTAACATCCCACAAATCTTCAGCAAAGACCATGGAAGAAGAGTGCAAAGACACTGAGAAGACATCACTTCTTATGTTAACTCAGGATAAGGTATGCCATTGGAACAAAGCAAATGTGTCACTGACTTTTTCTGTTTTCTCATACTAGAGAGGATTTCTTCCTCTCGTTCTCATTTGTGTCTTTCTGTGACATAAAATTGACATAAAGAGATCGTTCTAGCTGGTTGCACTGTGAGAACGTGGAAAGTGGACAAGGACATTGCCRGTGCTTCACAAAAATGGACTGCCTGCAGTCTTAGTGCATCTGCTCCTCTGAACTGCACAGCTTTACCATTGGAGGAAAAGGGGAATGTTACCTAAAAAAAAWTTTCTTCCCAGTTCCTCCCATTTGGACCATGCAGCATTCTCATAGAGCTGATGCTGGCAGCATTGTAAACCCAGTGAATTTGAGAAAAGTTCTGTGGCATGTGGGGCGGGGGGGTGAAGCATCATCATTCCTGTGTGTTTTAGTGCACTCAGACACTCAGTATTGCCATCAGTGACTTGGACCATGGAGTGTTTATGGCTCCTTTGCAGCAGGACATTGCAGGCGCTGTGGATTCTGTGCCCAGCACAGGGCTCTGCCCCGACACGGTGTGCAGCTCCTGGGCTGTATGTACACACACACAAACAYTTAATTGTTGGCACCTTAACATATATTAAAGCTCTTCTGGTAGCAATGAAAGATGGCATCCTCCCAGAGTTTTGCATGAGCTAATCGACCCTTTGTGTGAAAGTGTAGGTGGGGACCCTTCTAACAATACAAAGTTGGTTAGCTCATCATCTTGGCTTTAGCGCCATACTGATGTGCCCATCCTGCTTTCAGAGCCATGAATAATCCAGCTTTGCTGCTGTCCTCTAATAAAAAAAAAAAAAAAAAAAAAAAAGGAGAGTGCAGTTTCAGGGCTTGGTGCCCAAGCCTGTTTCTCAGTACAGGGGATGAGAGGGATTCACCTGTTATTTATTCACTGGTATCAGTCTTGGCTTCAGATCTCCTTTGGACAGCCATTGGTATCAGAAATGATCCCTATCAGCATAATTGCTATTTTTCAGCCATCAGTCAGAATAGCACCCTTGAGGATTAAGCAGGCGTGATTCACTGTCAGAGTGAGAGGAGCATTCACAGAAGTCTGTGCTGCTCATGATCCATTTAAATCTCTGTTAACTGTTTGGATGATGGAGCAGTAGGTTAAAGCAACCAAGCAATCTGGAAGACCCCAATTTTGGAGGAAGGTTGATCTTAAGTGTTCTTAAATGTTAATGAATGTGCATTAGAAATAGCCTTAGGTGAAAAAAGAAAGCGCATGATAAAAATACACATAAGGAATCAGGTCAAGGTCCTGGCACTATGCCAGGGGAGTTGGTAGAGGACAAACTCCAATCTAAGTCTACCTTGTGGCCAGAAAGATATTTGTTATTAGAAGACATATTAAGAGCACTCTCTGTATGGAGGTCCTTATGGTGCTGGAGAGGCCCAGGCCTTAAATCTACACTCCAGACTTCAAATAAAGATGTAAACTCTGGAGGAAGTCTGGAGGAGGGCAACAGGACTGATAAGAGGTTTTAAAAAACATGACCTGTAAGGAATTATTTTTTACATTGGGTTTGTTTAGTCTAGAAAAGACTGAGGACAGCTATGAGAGGCTTCACTTGTGTAGACAGTAGCTGAAAGGGATCTGGTAAAAGATGCAGTGGTCATGGCTCTGTGTGGGGAAGGACAAGACCCACTTGGTTTTATTGTCAGCAAAACAGAGGACGTGAGAGTTTAGGAAAGCTGTATCCATAGAGAGTGGGAGATATTGGAACAGATGATGCAGAGATCTCCATCTCTGGGAGTTTCTAAGAGTTTAAACTAATGTGCCACATGAGCAGCATAGGCACAGGCACAGAATGACACAGAAGGGTCTCCACATCTACATGATTTGTTTAAATCCGTTCTGTGGGGTTTATTGCTTTCTCGGCAGCAGCAGAAGGAATGTTGGACTCAAGTTTGGTTGCTAACACAGAAAATATGCTGATAGGTGGGTATGTTTACACAGAACATGTTGATAAGACAGGAAAAATTATATTGTTGTCAGAAACAACAGCCAAACGTTTTAGAAGTTCTGCTTCAAAAAAAGTATATTTAAGAAAAAGGGCTTTTTTGGCAAAATATCTTTCATTAAACAAAAGATTTAGCTGGAAAAATTTGCACTGAGCTCTGCAGATTAGCAGCCCAGCACAATCCCAAGATATGTGACATGTAATTACTGATCCTGGAAATGGTTCTTTCCACCATTTGGGATTAAGCAGAGATAACACAGCGCCTCTGTAAGCAATGAGAAGGTGAGGAAAGAGATTGTCAGGGCAGCCACAGAGGAGCTTCTCCTGCAAAAAAAGGCCATGGAAGAGTGAGGATACAGAAAGACTGTTCAAGAACTTGCCACATTAGGAGGGCAGTGATATCTCTCAGAGAGCCAAGAAAGGGCTGTGGTTTGGGGATGAGAGGCAAAACCCTCTGAAAGGGCTCAGAAAGTGCTGGTTCTCACAAAGCCTGTACTTGTGTGTGTTCTGTCCAGGAAACTGGTGAGTGGGATGTGAAACTGCCATATGTTTTTGCAGATGCTCCAAGCATGTGTGCTCCCTATCGTGTATATGCTTTAAACCCAGTTTGGAAAATGGGTCAAAGTCTGCCAGAGCTCCAGGAGGAAAACTCCTGAGAATTTACAGACCTGAGATGCTGTGATTAATGGTTCTGGACAGCAATTTTACTTTCTCCTATTGAGGCATGGGAAGACAGAGGGGAGTGCAACAGGAGATCCACACCGAAGATCAAGGCAGGCACATCTGCCTGGCTGTCAGATTTCACACCAGCAAATTGGAATAAAATTTAAAAAATCCAAAGTCAGATCTGGTCCTTGCTCTGGGAATGCAAAGAGGCCTGAAAGACTCCTGTGTAGATATTTATGCCTGGCATAAAACCACCATGGAGAATTCTGTGTTTCACTGGTTTTGCCATCCCTTTAATAGAAATATGTCAAGTGAATATAAAGGAATGAGATCTTATTGTTAGAATGGTCTTGAGTTGGTGTCACTTCACTTAACAGGAGGATTCAGTGTCCAGCCTCTGCACACCACAGCTCAACAGCTGCCCTCCCAAACATGCCAGGCTGCAGGCTCACATCTTAAATCAACAGTCCTGCAAGTGTGGGAGACAGAGGACCTTAAATTCTCAAAAGGGGAATTTTTTCCTCCAAAGCCCTAGAAAAATATTTACCTTGAGACAACATCCTTCTGTCAGGCATGGAGGATGAGCCACCTTCATCATCACTGCTTTTAGCTTTAATTTTCAGCACAAATAGCCCCAAAACCCTCTGGAGTGGGGGCAACATGGCACTGCCAGATGATTACATATCACCTCTTAATACAAAGCTAATTGTGTTTACTCCATTACTCAGTTCCAAATTACAAGCCTTATCTCACAGGAGCTTGGGATGGCTCTGTAGCTTCAGAAAACTCATGTGAAAGGGACATTTTTAAAATACAGTGTTTTCCAGAAAGACTGTCTTAAAAATATAGTGCAGTTCAAATCCTCTGCTTCCTTTAATGCTATTTTCAGGTTGGTTATTTTTTTTCAAATTAGGTTTAGCAACATACATGAGATGTTAGATTAAAGGGACAAGGCTTGGGTTTTCTGTGTCTGTACAGAAATAGCTGTTCCCTGGGTGGGCCAGGTGAAGCTGAGCACAGTTATTGTCACTTGACTTCCCCCAGCCTTCTGGGTGGAGGGGGAAGAGATGGGACTGGCTGCCTGCAGGAAAGTCTGGCCAAAGCACTGGGCCACATCCTTTGTGGAGGTAAATCAACATTGTCTGAGGATGTTTCTGGAACCATGACTATTTTCATCAGGATCAGGCCTTTTCCATATGGTGAGGAAGTGGTAAAGATCACAAAGGGAGGGAAAGTTGTCCATGTATGGCAATAATTGCAAAAATCTATGGGGTTTGCCTATGTAGGTGGGGTCATTTTCTCAAAAGAATTAAAGTGTGGCTCTTTCCCTGTAAGACTTGCTGAGTAGCTCATCCCAATAAGACAACAAGCCCAGATGCCTAGAGGAAGAGCAGTGTTGTTGTGAAGACACAGCCCCAAAAGGCAAAATGTCTGGATTTTATTTGCAGCTCTGCCACGAGCTTCCTGGATGATTGTGGCCACGTTAACCAGGTCCCTTGTCCCAGCAGCCTCCGTGCCCTCTCTGCACAGGCATGAGTGGTACATGCACTCAGGGCTTTGCATAAATGTCCAGTGAATGTAAAGCTGCAGACAACCATGTGCTGCCCTGCTTGCCTCAGGAGAAGGGCAATGAGTTAGTGAAGCCACTGGATCCCTGACAGCAGGGGTCTGCATCCAGAAACAGGGAAGAGCCTCAAAGTCTTCTTTGCCAATGGCCCATTGCTGGCAGGCGGTGGATGTAGGTGTCTGAGGAGGAAAACAAAGTCAGGATGAGCAGAGCTGGACTTTCAGAGCTGGGAGTGGTTTGTGTGAACTCAGCAACCCTCAAAGGATTTCTAAACCTGGGAGCATGAGTAGTCCAGGATGAGCTCTCAGGGCACCTTGGGATTTTTAGCTTCCTCGGAGCAGGACTCATTTCTTCAGCTTTACATCAGACCTGGTAGGTCACACAGGGCTTTTGGAGCTGCTGCAAAGGACAGCCTTCCCATGGCTGTGTCAGCTCTCACAAGGAAGTGATCCTGCCTGCCAGGGAATTGAGGCTAAATGCACTGGTGTTTCCTCATGCTTTGGAAGGGAAGAGAAGTCGGGAGGGAATTATTGTTGTGGTATACAGGAGCTTTGCCAGTATAATGCCCTGTAATAACAGCTAGTCTTCCTTCAGGTCAYTGTTGCCTGTTTTTTAGTACTCTTGCTCATGACACATAGATCTTGGGTTTAGAGATGCCCTCTTTCTCTTTCCTTCTTCCTAACTTACTAAATATATTTGGGATGTTTTCTTTTTTATGGTGGTGTATCCACATATCCCTGTCTATCACATATCCCATCTTCCAAATATCTCCTCCAAGGACCTATGACCAGAAAACCAGCACATTTGTGCTCTGTCTCCATGTATCAGTGGGAACTTTAAAGCATGAGGAAATACTCTGAAGGGCACTACAGATGATGAAACTGGATTTAGAATAAGGAAATGTCTGTCTGGTCTCAGAGATAGTCTCACATCTGCTTTGTCCATGCCCCATAACCAAGCTGCACCCTGGAAACCACAGAGCTGAATTAGGGTGGGGGTGGATTGAGCTTTCATCCCAGCTTGTGGTGGGGTTCGTGCATCCGGGCTCAGGATGGTGTGAATGTGGCTGCATTCTGTCTGGAGATGGCTGGTGTCCAGTTGGCTGGGAAGGGGGCTGGATGGACAGGCAGCTGTTTGCATCAGCCAGCATAAACATGCCCAAATTCTCTTCAAGTGCTACTGGAGGGTACTCAGGTATTCCAGTGATGAGGGCAGTCTGAGAACCTGTTTGGACCAGAACATGGGTTTCAGTGGCAGTTTTCTGGCTGATTAATTGGGTGACTTGGTGCAAGTCTCAACTTGCCATTGCCCTATCCAATAAATGGGAATAGCAGCATTTGTCTCCCTTTGTAAAACACTTTGAGGTCTACGGATAATCCTTCTCCTTTTTCCCACCCATCATTATGGGACCAAGTGGAATCTTACGACACAATGAGTTTCTGTGGTCTGGCGTTTGCCAAGCATCTGAGAATGACTCTTTGGCTTGAGCTGCAGTGTCTGTGACTGCCACGTGATTTGCCATGGCAGCTCCTCGTTGAAACCAGGTCAGCTCTCACCTGAGAGTGCTTGAGATGGGGAGAGAAGCTGAAGCAGGCACAAGGAGGATGCAGACTCCGGGGCATCCTGCAACCACACACATCAACAATCCATCAATAACCCACAGCACTTTGTGGTTCAAAGCTCTGCAAATACTTGAGAGTGGAAAACTCCAAACAAGAGAAGATTCCTCTCTTGACCATCATGCTGCTCTCTGTTACCCTGGTGAGCAGCAGGCAGAGTTTGAGAAAAACCTTCACTGGGCATTTGGGAGATGTTCTCACAGCACAATATTCAATAGTTTGAATTCAAGGACCTTGTGCTGCTGTGCACAACTGATATTTTATGACACAGTTTTTTCTTACTCTGAGTTGTCCTTAGACTCATACAATGGAGTGGTTGGGGTTGGAAGGGACCTAAAAGGTCATCTAGTTCTAATACCCCTGCCATGAGCAGGGATGTCACCTGCTAGGTCAGGTTGCTCAGGGCCCCATCCAACCTGGCCTTGTCCAGGGATGTTTTCTCCTATGCTGGGATGCAAGCCCCTTTTTAGACTTCATCCCAAGCAGGTACCAATGGGATGTGCTACTGAAATTATGCTGTTTCTTGAAAGAAAACCTAAGTGATTGAAAGTAAACCTTGCAAGTGACTTGGGAACTGAAGAAGTGAGTGAACAGTTAAGAAATCAGGTTGCTGATACACAGAGATCTTCCCAAAGAACATTGCAAGGAGCCTTGAAGAGCCAGGAAACCAGCAGAGATTGGTATCAGGCAGCAATGAGCTTACAGGATGGAGGCTTGAAGAGAGGCTTGATCTCAATCTCCAAGCACTCACAAGAGGAAGGAAAATGTGGAAGTGAAGCAGATTTATCCAGACATCTTCTGGCTGAAACTTGAAGTGAACATTTTTTACTGTTTGTCATAGTGGGGAACAGCAGCAGTGGCTTCCCGCAGAGTAACGCCCCAAGGCTCCCCTAAGAGCTCCTGTAGTCCCTGACTGGGTGGGTGCAAGTGTTGGGAAAAACTAGCCCTAGTTGTAAGAGGAATGAGCCAGGGAGTACCTGGTGGCCTTTGCTACATACAGGAGCAGATTAGGGGATCCTCCTGAATCCTGAAGTTCAGGATCCAGTGATTTGGATTCCTTCAGCCACAGCAATATTAAGGACAATTCCACCTTCTCATCTCATCAAGCGCTGAGCCCCATCAGTGAGGGTAAAGCATTTGGGAGGGAATAATGCTTCAAGATTCAACTCTAAACACCATGAGCTCTTGGGGCAGCTTGAGCTTCCTCTTCTTGTCCTTTGCCTCCACTGTACCATTACAGGATGACAGCATCAGAGTCACCTGGTGCTTTCGTTTCTCCCTTAAATGAGAAAGAAACCCAAACAAACAAGTAATAGACCTAGAGGCCATGAGCAAATGAAAAGTTGCAATTTCCCAGAGCAGCACTCAGGGTCTGCTCTCTGGACCAGGGCTGTGAGGGACTCAGCACCTGGCTGGGCTGGACCCAATGGCTGTGTGTTTCATGAGTCCTATCAGATATGATCTGTCCATACACAAGCCATGTTTTACTTATAAAGTAAATTGCATTACATGGGCTATAATGTACAATTTCAAAGCAGACCCACCTTAGAAACATTTTGTTTAATAAAATAACTTAATTAGAAGAGAGCTTCTGGCTGATGTGGTTGAGGCTGTGATAATTTTTCCTTCTCAAATCATTTTCTCTGTTTATTATACTTAATTATAGTGTAATTATGTATCCATCCTCTAGGCAAATTATGCAATCAGAAGATGTGAGTGGTTCATTTGCCACTGCTGTTGGGACCAGTGTTTACATCCCTAGTACAAAATATGAGCATAATTTCTATTATTTATAGTATTACATACACGCATACATATAAAAGAAGTTTCACACAGAATGAAGAATTGGTGTAAATATTTTATTGGCACTCATTTTTGCATCATCCACTCAATTCATTTGTGGCCTACTAATAATGGAGACACCCAAAACTCAGGTAAGTAAAATCTTTACCATGAATTTTCTCAAATGCAAATACACCGCTGAGGAGCGTGGAAGTTGCACGGCTGAGTTTTAATTTTGGTAGGAGGGTTGTTATTATTTTTAAGAGCTTATTTTGCATTTGACTTCCTAATATTACAGGTTTTCTTAGCACAAGAGAGAAAGGAACCCCACAGTATCCACTCGTGGGGAGTGGATTTGTGTTCACATCATGGGTTTAGACTAATCTATTTTTAGCCATGTGCTTCAGAAACTTTTTAGCCATGGCAGCCCTGACTTTAGCAGACTGGGTTGTTTGTTCTTCCTCTTTTTTCCCTTGATGGGGGTTGACATGTTTGAACATACCAAAACGTGAAGCCAAATGTCCAAATCTTGAAAACCCTCCTGAGATGGATGTTTTCTCCTTCTTTGGCCAGCTCTCAGCGTGAACACAAACTGAATTCCCACTTGGCAATTTCAGCGTCTCTCTCTGTGCTTCTTTTGCAGAATGAAGCCACTCTCGCCAGCAGAGCGGGTGGGGGAGGTGACACATCTCCTGCTGCAGCTCAGCCCCCCGTGTTTGTCACAGCTGGCAGAGAGGTGAGACATCCATCTCACCATCCTACCCAGTGAAGGAGAAAGAAGGTGATTCCTGACCATCTTCATCAGCCCTGCAGCTGCCCCATGGCCTCAAATAGCCTTTCCCTCTTCCCACCCTCAAAATGCAACCACTGCCCCATTCCTCCCTCTCCCTGAGAGGAGAATTGTCAGTTGTGGTCTCTGAGGGAAGAGCACTGCCCCAGCCAGCCTGGAATAAAGCTGGAGTGGAGAATCAAAGCCCAGATCCAGGCAGATACTTTGCAGTAACCTAAGATCCAATGAACATCTGGGGAGATTTTTCAAAGGAGCCAGCAAATACTCCTGGGTAGGGGCTGTTGCTCCATCCTGACCCACAGGGGAGCTGCATTCACACACACACAGGTGGGCCAAACCAGCCCAAACAGGGTGGAAACAGCCAAGCCACTGTTGCCAGTGCTGGCTGCAGCAGCAGATGGTACACAGCAGATGGGATGCCCTGTGCCAACAGCCCCAAGCCTGGAGCAGGCAGCAGCTCCTTGGAGAGCTGAGCAACAGCAAGGCCAGGCACTGAGTCAGACCATGGCAAGGAGGCTTCTTCCAGAGCAGGATGAGATGGAGCAGTAGGTATGTAAGATGTTTTTGTTTTTTCCTGATGTTATTCTCATTTTCCCAGGTTCAGACAGCCGTCTGCCATGTGCTTTAACCAGACACTAAGATGTGAACCATGGGCTGGCATTGCTGTCATGGGCAAAGGGACAATGCCATGCCATGGGGCCGTGCCAGCCCATTCCCACAGGGATTTTGCATGGGGTGAAGTAGGTTGGGACTGGGTGAAGGATGCTCTGGCTCTGGCCCCCTACCAAAGGAGGATTTGTCCATTACAGTCTCGCTTTTGGGGTGTGGCCTGAAAGGGAGCATTGGAATATTTGTTGGGGAGTTTCCACATTTTTTACGAAACCCTTGGGTTTTCCTTACCTTGAATTTGGGAGTAGATAGCTTAGTAAGCAATTTTGCGGGTGCCTGGCTCCAAGGTGATGCTTCTCCCCCGTTGGTTTGTAAATGCTATGGAATGAGTGGTATATTTACCTATTTCTGAGCAAAGGGGAAGCTGTGGTGCAGTTTACCTGAGGTGAGGCAGAAATCTGAAGGCAGGGCATGGAGCAGGAGTCAGACTGCCAAATCCCCAGCAGCCAAGCAACATCCGTCCTTTCTGTTCTTTCCTGATTTTGTTTCCACTTGCATTCCTAGTGGGGAGGAAATGAAAGGGGTGACAATTGAATGTGGATTACGAGCTCCAGCATCTGTGCTAGGGGAATCTGCAACCAAGGGCAAGTGGATTAATTTGATTCAGTATTGGCCACTGATTCTTAGAGAACTTCTTGTCTCAGAGTGAACTGGTTCAGCAACCAGCCCAAGAGCTGAGACCCCACAGCTCTGAGTGAGGACAAGGACCACCCTTCCTACCTGATGTTTAATCAGCTGAATTTCAGTTATTGAGGAGCCATGAGGGAAGCCTGGCCTATTTTTATATCTTGGAGCCCTCTTGGAAGCCTCAGCCCCAGAAATGTGTTCCAGCACTGCTTCAGCGCACGCTGAGCCTACACAGTGTCCAGGGGAGCATTGCACCCGTATCTGAGCTGTCGTGAGCTAAAGCCAGCAGAAGTAGCTTTCCATTCACACCTTCAGTTTTCATGTCAACATGCCAGAATGGCATGAGGCAGCAGATGGATGCAGACCAGGAAGATTATGTGGACATATTAGGCAATGGGGATTGGTCCATTCAGCTCACACATCTCCAGCTGCGATATCACAAGGCTGCAAAGAACCAAACTGGAAGCTTCTAATGAGTGAGAATCAAAATGGGCTTTGTCCAGGTTTGTTGAATATTTTATTTAAACCGCCACCTCCTGTCCCAGGTTTCAAAACCCAAACCCTGCCCTTTAAATTGCTAACAGAATGACCCCATTTTTATTGGGTTCACAGTCTTTCTCAGAGCTGACACCTTTCCCCTCTGGGGAAGGGCTGAGCAATAGACATCCAGCTAAAATCCAATGTCAGCAGCTAAAGGTAAAACACAATTTTCAGCCAGCTATGGGATATGTTTCCCAAATGCTCTTATCTCTGGTCCTCTCTACTTTGTCTGTAAAACTATTGCTTTGCATAATAGAAGGGAGCAACGCTCGACCATCTGGGAGCAACCCCAATTCAAGTATAATTTAGGTTGCTTCATTTGCTCTCCCATCAGCAACAGGAATGGAGCTTCCTTCTTGTTTCCCTTGATCTCTTAGCCCTGTGCTAAAAAGGCAAGGTCAGAAGGCAGCAATGGGGGAATGAACTGTACCCTGAACTGGGTTTTGAATTTTCAGTGCTTGTGAGTGAGATTCCTTCACAACTAGGACATTTTCCAATTCTGTGTAACCAAAGGGATGAAGAACTCAGTAAGTCTCAGGTGGGAGGGGAGACTGGGTATCATCCTATATGCAAATGCCCCTTTCACCTTCAGCCAAGCCTGGGGACTGGGATCACATCAGCTGGGCATTGTGCCCTGGGGAATCACCACTGGGGTTAATGTCCCTGCAGTCAGCAAGTGGCACCACACACACATCCAGCGATTGTGAGGGAGGTGCTGAGCCCACCCGAGTCCAGCATGGAGAGACCTCCTCTGAGATCACCCCTGAGGGACGCCTCATCCTGGGGACCAAGCCACTTTATCCCCATTGCTGGTTCTCTTGGAAACCTGAACTAGGGAAACCACCATTTGGAACTATTCCTCTATGCCAAGAGGAAAATCCAGACCTGAACTCCTGTTTAGTCACTCTTGGTGAGCGAAGTCAGACGGTGCAGGCCTGGATGCTGGAGTTTATGGCTTAAATAAGTGGGATTATTCATGAGTTCAGAGATAACCATGTTCTTTTATGCTTGGCTGGAGCGGCGTCTCAAGCTGGCAGCTGGGAGTCAAAAGCTCTGAGTCACCGGGTCCCTCCTCTCTGTCCTTCCTGTGTGACCAGTCTGCCCGTGTGTGCTTCCCTGCCTGCCGCATAAGGAGGATGACAATCACTTTTATCTGATGGTTGCTTTCAAATGGCCCTAAAGGCCTCTTCTGGCCTGATGAAAATTCAGTAGAAGCTTGGGCTAGTGTGGAAAGATGGGAGGACATTTAACTAATGAAAGCGCTGGGGCTCAGGAAGGCAATTACATCCTTTCTTCCTCCCCACATTCCCACACAGGCTACTGGTGATGGCTGCAAAATCTTCTGTAGTCAGGGAGGAGTGGGAGGCCATGGAAAGGGTGAGACAAGGGCCTCTGAGCTGGGGAAGGCTCTGTAGGGTGGTGGTTGGGGTGACCAGCACAGCAGGTTCCCAGCAGCAGTTACACCTTAAAAGAGGCTCCTTTCAATTAAAAACTTGATCCTGCAAGCCTCTGCTTCACATATGTGCTTTGTAAAACAAAAACACCCACAAAATCTGGAGACAAAGAGAGACACATGGGCCAATTGCATGTATCTTATGCCCCAATTTACAGTAAGTCCCCAGAGAAGAGACTGAGAGGGTTTTCCACATTTAGCATGCACCTCTCTGAATAAAATATGATTTAAAATGTAGGCTCCATCCTTTCTTCTGCTGTTCCTGTGCAGTGTTGGTGAGTAGTGCTGTGGGATCTCTCTCCCTGTGGATCTGTGCAGAGCAGGCAGAGCAGCACTGACTTGCAGGACCCGCTCAGTGCTGAGTTTTAGGAGAGACAAGCAGTGCAAACTGCCCAGGGTGTAAAGGGCTGACTGGACCAAAGGCTGATGGTGCCTTTCCCTGGTCCAATTGCCCCCTTGCCACCATTCCTGGGAGGAGAAGTTGCTGCTGCAGCGCTGCTTCTGTGCACCCCCCTTTTTGGGGCAAGCTGGCTTTGGCATATGCTTATTAGATGGGCTGTTCTGCACCTCCCTGTTGGTTAGCAAGTCAAATAGGAGAGTGTGAGAAACGCTGTGCAGCTACAGCTGCTGTGCCCAGGATAGTGTGCAGACAGAGGAGCTGTGGGCGTCCTCCCGCTGCCCCACCATTACTAAATACAATTGCTCTCACTTTCCATTGATAGACATCAAAAAGCAATTAAGAATCAAGCTCTTCAAATTGATAGGTCTCCTGAATTTGAAACATTTTTCATTATTTGGCTGGTATCACTACCTAGATTAGATTATTTTTAAGGGAAGATTAAAATAAACAGTATTTATGGTTTAATTATTTGAATGACTAAGAAGCTCCAGCTTTATTTTAACTTCACAGAGGACCGGGAGATGTTTTTAATGATATGTTTTACTCATTTAGGACCTTTCATCCAAGGATCTCAAACTGCTTTTCAAATAATTAATTAATCCTTGTACCTCTCCATGAGACAGTTATTATCTTTGATGTTACTGATGGGTAAGCAAAGGCACAAAGACGTCAAGGCACAAACTGTTTTCCAAATATTAATTAACTAATTCTCTCACCACTCTGTGAGACTGTTACTATCTCTGCCACTACCAATGGATAAACTAAGGCACAAATCTGCGAGTAACTCACCTGAGGCCATTCAGGTGAGTCAAGAGCAGAACTGAGAATAGCTATGAGCAGTGTCTGAGCTCATTGTTTCCAGCAAGGCCTACGCCGTATTCCTGACAATGGGCAGTGCATTCCCTGGGGTCAAGCACAGCTGAAACCAGCTGCTTTATGAAAAGATTTCCTCTGGTCTGTCTTCATTCATTGGAGATCGTGTTTGCCCACATCAATCCACAGTTTCCTTTGAACTTCTTGTGGTTGGCAGAAGCCAGAGTAACCATGAGAAGAAACGATTGGTTTAAAGGATCTGGAGAGCTTAGAGATGCTCTGGTGAGGGGGTTGTCCAGCAGCACACAATGGTTCTGGAGCTCATCCCTGTGCCCATCCTGTGTGGCATCCTCATGCCAGGGCAGCCCCAAGCTCTGGCAGGCTCAGGGTGCCACATGCAGGGCTGGCATCGCTCCTCTCTCGTGTCCTAGCCGGCAGCCCCGGAGCAAGCATGTGCAGGGCCCAGGGGTGATCACACGAGCTGCTGTGCCTCTCTCTGTGTGTCCTGCCCTGGGTACCCCCCTTCTCCTTTGCCACATGGCAGCGGGGTATTTTCCAGGGTTCGTGCAAGAGGATGTGGAGAAATGTGGGGACCCTGTGGGCCAGGGCAGGGTCCAAACCCACCTTGTCCCTTGCAGAGTCCATCAGCGCAGCCTTGGTGTGTGTTTATCCCAGGGAATGAGAGCTTTCTGCCCACCCCAGGGGGAGGAGGAAAAGGCAGGAACCTGGAGGCACTTTCTGCCCTCAGGAAGGGTCCAGCTGCAGGATTCTGTGCATAGGCACCTGAACCCTCGCCACAAACACATCCCAGCTGAGCTATTTCAAACATGGGCTTGGCCCCATCAAATGTAGTCTCATTTCCACATGAAAGGGCTGGAGGAATATGAAGCTAGCTCATCTCTATTGATAAGAATTTGGCTTTACTTTCCCCCAGTTATCTAAGCTTTCTGTGTACATTAATCACAGTGCAAAAACCTGGAAGATAGGGAGCATCTCAGCTGTCCTTCTGGGGGTGAGTTTTTTCTGGGTTGTTTTTTTGGGTTTGGTGGTGGGGGGTTTGTTGTTTGTTGGTTTTTTCCCCTAAACTTCCTTTTTCCAATTGCACTCTGTGGAAGTCTGATTGCTCCCTCCCCTCTGCAATTTGGATGCCTCACTCTTCGTGCTCCAGCTCTGATGCAAGTGCTTGGGTGCCGTGTTTGCCAAAACTGGCACGAGCAGCCAGTGCTCGTCTAGACACACTCTAACTGTGACACTGATGCCAGGCTTCTACAGGCTGAGCCTGGCGTTCGTCAGAGCTCTGCCCACGGTCAGCACTTTGATCTTTATCTTTGAAAACCACAGCCATTGACAAAGGTAAAATGAATTTCTGACTTTGAAAGACTTTGATGGCATTCCTCTGTTTTGGTTTGTGTTTTGTTTTTTGTTTTTTTKCTCCTCTCCTTTGCTCTTCCAGCTGAAATTCATCATAAAGCTTTTGATTACAGCTGCTGCTCCAGGACCAGAGAGAGGTCATGCTGTCTTACTTTCTCCCAGTTTAAAGTCTGAGGGGAAAACCCTGTGACACTTCTGAGACAGTCTGCCAGTGAGTGAAATGTAAACTGTAATGGGAATTGGAGATAGAGGGTCCTCAGGATGTGGTCTTGTACCTTCTTTAAAAAAACAAACCAAAACAAAATCATCCTGAATAGGGCCTAGTGCCAAGAGAAGGAGAGAATGAAAACTATTTGGTGTTAGATTTCTAGCTGGAAATCTGCAGCCTGCCAAGCACTGCTATTTGCCTCCATGAAGCACGGGTTGAGCAGAGGCAAGGACCTTCTATCAGACATTGTATAGGCATTGTAAGAGATTGCCCAGCCTGGAGGTGCTCATCATCATAGAAACATGGCGAGCAAATCCAGTGTTGTTGCTTCATCTCCTCAATGGGAAGGTCACACAGGACACCTGAATTCCTTGAAGGCTCTGATCTCATCAAGGTTGTCAAAGATGACAAAGATGGCATCTTTGCTGATGAGCTGTTGGCTCCAAAAGTGACCACGGTGCTGTCACACACGGCTCGACAGTGGTGCCTCTTGTGTGCAACCATTTCTGACATTTTTCCCTGCTCCAAGCTGGATGGATTGGCTTACTGAGGGGAAATGCTGCACATCTCTTAGCAGCTCTCTCTGCTAGACAAAGTCAGCAGCTTTGAACCAGGCTTTTCTCTTCATAAGGCTATAAAAGGCAGTTGTGAGATGTCTTACCCCTTTGAATTTACTGGAGGGAGCACTTTACRTGAGGGATGTTCAGTAAGGTACTTCCACCAACCTGGATGAATTTCAGTGGAAACAGAGGAGGGGGGGTCCTTCCACTGGGCCTGGAATAAAAGCAGAGATTTAAAGAACTGGAGATTAATACCATACACAGTRTAAAAGGGGAAGGCTTTGACTGAGGGATATGGACAGTGTGTTATTTGCATATCTGTAAAAATCTTCTGAGCACTGGGAGTGTTTATAATGAGACCAAAGGGAGAATGAAGAATYCAGTACTTAATACAGACACCTGCCACTTGCAAAATATCTCCACCACTAGAAACAAATGCCTGTGAGAGTTTGGGAGATTTTGGTCACTGATTTGTTCCTCCTTTGTTTCCATTTCARTCACTGGTCCATCTGTCCAGTGAGAGCCCTGACATTGATAAATGTCACGAAGTGAAGTTGCCGGAGTTGCTCCATGTGCTGGTTCCAGGTGAGATGGCAGCAGGAATAGCTATAATTCTTACCAAAACAAAACAAGAGAAAAGAAGTATTTTCTAATGRTTTTGGATATAGTTGTTAGGTCCCAGGCACTGACATTACTCAGAGTACCCATAAATATCACTGTCACCGAACTCTGATTTCCAAGTTCTTTGTTCCCAACGCACACCGGCTGTGAAAACCCAGCTGAGCTCTGGCTGCTGGCCTGGGAAATTGCCAGCAGCCAGAGCTGGCATTTGCCAGAGCTTCTGGAATTTGCCCAGTTCTTGGTTCCCCCCAGGCCATTTTAGGAAGATAAGCAAGAGTCACATCCATACGGTGCATCCCCTGGTAGGAAAATGCCCCTGTTGTAAATTCTGCAGCACAGGTGACCTCTCGCGCTCCATTCCCAATGTCGCGGGTCCCAGTGATATCTTTGGGAAGGGATCAGCCCCAGGGTGACGGAGCAGTTGTGAAGGCTGGCAAAACACCCAAGTAGTATCATAAACCAAAACACCCTGGCAAGTATCATAGGTGCTCAGGTCAGTTTTCTCTATTCTCTGCATGTCTCTGTTGGGAACCAAGCTGACAGAGTCCTGGTCCCAATAAATATGGCAGTTGTGACACTGTCATTTAAGAAAAATCAGTTTCCCTGAGAAAACCTCAGACAAAAGAACCAACCCAAAATATTTATCACTTCACACGATGTTAATGCAAACAAAAACATTGTACACTGCAATAAATCCATTACTGAGTCTTACCAGAACAAACTGATATTCCCACGTGGCCAATTTCAAGCTGGAAGAATTTGGGTTCGTYTTTGCTATTAATAGTCTTTTGTAATGGAGAAGGCATTTTTCAATTGAGTGAAAAATTTTGCCTCCAAAAATGTCCAGTTTCATTGAAAGATTTAGAGGTTTCATCAAGAAAAAACTAAGACCAGCAATTCAATGATTGCCTGGGTGAGAGATTTCTTCAGTATTCCCCCTCTCCCCATCACCTCAAAAAAAAGTCAAAAGGTAAAATATTAACTGAAAGAACCAAATCCATCCATGTCATCAACATCTTTCATGGGGGAGAGACGTAGTCCCTGGCTACCTCCACCATTTAGTTTGCAATAACAATATGTTTATGTGCTAACCCCGAGATTAGTTTGGCCGAGCCAGGAATGCCCACAAYGACTCTCTGAGGGATGTATTGAACCTGCAGAGCAGGGCTGAGTGCAGTCACATGCAGGGCCGGCCCAGGAGAGTCCCCCAGAAGCAAAGAGAGCTCAGCCAAGGCTGGCTSAATGGCACCATTTAAGCCTCAAAGGAGAGCCCAAGTGCCAGCCAGCACAAGGAGATAAGGAGCACCCCCRGAGAAGGGCACAAAGGTTGCACTGATGAGCAGCGCCTGGCTTTGCTCCCACAGGGGTCACAGCTGGGTCCTCTATTAAATTCTTCTCAACACTGCAGTATTGAGAATTATACCAAGTTACTTACTAGTATTTGCCATTTATCCTGGCATAAGCARAGACAGCCAAAGGCTCTGTTATCTGCTTTTATAAGCTGGAGAATTTGGCTCTGAGGAGACAAAGGTCCAGCAGAGCATGTGGGGGGTATCACTGGTGTGAGTAAAGTGGTACCTTTGTCTCTCTAAAGGTGCATCCTGGGGTTAGCTACAAGAGAAATACCAGTGATTGGTAAAAATGTGCCTATTCTGAATTTTGAAAAAATTACCTATTATACTACAAAGAGAAACTGTTTCTGTTTCATTGCCAGTATCCTGTTGGAGCTGAAGCTCCAGTGTGCACAGGTAGCATCCAGGTTCATCAAACCAAATCATCAGCATGGCAAAGTCATTCCCAGTCATTTCTCTATTAATTTTCAATGTCCCATCCTATCGACTCAAATTGAGTAGGGAAGAGGTAAAGCAACGAGAATGAGCAGTTTCTAAGGTTGCACCGAGTAGAAGGTAAGAAAATATAATAAATTTTATTTCATGCCTTCTTGCCAATTGCTAGAAATGTGCAGTCCATATGAATGCATATAACAAGGAGGGAATGTTGGGAAAACCAATAAAGATTTTGTGGTCTTAACTATAATGAATGTAGTTTGATATAGAGTCTGTTTTTCACTGCATGGCAAAATGAATCATAAAATACTGGACCTTGAAACTCCTGCATTTTTTAACAATAGCCTGGGGACAGTTTACAGTGTAATGAATTGTAATTAACCCACCTTCAAAATCTTTTATGAGTATTTTGCCAATTAGCTTCGCATGCTTGCTAATGACTCATGGCCAGCGCATGTCTTTACAGAGCGGGGTTTACGGCGCACACCAGCCTGGGAAGGCAGCAGAGGGACACAGGATGGGGAGGGAGATGCAGGTAAGACCAAACCAGTCCTAGCAACTGACATATTTCAGCATTCAAAGAGCCTTTGCTGCTCTCCCAGCCCCAAAATAACTGCAATAATGTATAGCGACGTCAAAAGGCTTTGGTTTCCGAAGGATTGCGAGGAATGCAAAGGGCTCAAGTCCTGACATCTGTTGTTACTTAGTACTAACATATATAATGCTGCTAATTGCTGAGCCATCTTTGTTTTCCTTACTTAGCACTAGGGTTAGAATTATTTTATTTTTGTGGTTCATGGCTTCCTGCCACTTGCAACACAAAGTCCACTCTAAAGAAAATAAAACAACTACCAGGCTGCCTACTAACAGTGTGTGGAGGGCTGGGGCTGTTTCTTCCTCCTCTTCTGTTTTAGGTTGTGTTTTTGTTGGGTTTGGGGCTTTTATTAATTAAGGTAAGAAGAGACAGCAGAGCTGGGACTTGACCAGTGTCCCACCTAAAGGCCACATGGGCCAATATCCTATCTCCCAGTATCCCATCTCCCAGGAGGCAATGCAGAATCAATCCCTCCACTGCTGTACCCTCCTCGCTCCAGACATCCGTGATTTATGGACTTCCCAAAGCAGAGGCTGCCTCCAGACCAGTGTGTTTTAACAGCCACCCATGGATCTATCCTCCCCAAATGTTTTTGATCCCTTTTCTCAAGCCATTTATAACTTTTGGCCTCCGCAACATCCTGTGGCAATGAGTTCCACAATTTAATTATGCTTTGTATGAAAAAGTGCTTCCTTCTGTTGGTTTAAACTTCTTGTGTGACAGCACCACCAGGTTCTTAGGAAAACCAGTGAACAGCCAGTTCCTATTTGCTTTTTTCTATGTCAGTCGTGATCTGACAGACCCTTACTGAACCTCCTGCTTCTGTCACCCTTTTCCACCCTGAAGGCTCCTCATCTGCTTATTTTTCCATCTTTGTGGAGCTGTTGCCCATCTCTCCTCATCCTGAATGCTTTCCTTCCTGCACTTTCCAGTTCAGCTCAACTCTTCTGGAGTTCCATGGCCAGAAAACACACTACCATGGAGATGCAGTTTCACTGAGGAGTGTTGTAATGATGTTTTCTGATTTGTTCCTGCCTCTTTGCCAGCTCATTCCTAACGTGATAGTTGTCTCTTCTGATGAGCTTTAAATGATATTTGCAGAGGTCTCCCAGCTCTCTTTGCTCAGTGTTATTTTTAGGGCTCATCTGTGTGGAAGTACAGTGAGGGTGAGTTTTCTGCACGTGCTCTTCCTTTGTTGACACCGCCCTGCATCAGCTATTTCATAGCCCAGCCACTCAGGATCATGAACCTTTTCAGCAGTGCTTTGGAGACAGATTTGCATCATCAGCAAAATTTCTCTTCTCTCTGTTCATCCTATTTACCTGACTGTTTATGCACGTGTCACAACACTATCAAATTGGTATTTCAACTACAACTCAGTTCTAAGTAATGCATGAAACCTCTCTCACACCAAGACGTGTGGCAGACACCAGCCAAGGCCTTGAGGGGTCCCACCAGTAACCTCCAGCGACTGTGAACATTCTGAGATTTATACCCATACTCCAAAAAGAGAGCATTTAACTCCTTATAGCTGCAGGAAAAACTTTATTTTCTTATCTCTTATTGTGAAGCCTTGTTGCAGACAGTTTTTAGGCATTTGTGTTTATTGGCATGACTCTCTGAGCTCCTCTGAGCATGTTATCAATATTGAGAGGGTAAGCGGGAGAAATCAGTGATAAGAAGGCCCATCTGGTGTGTCAACTATTTCATTCTCCAGCCAGGGATATGTCATTCATCAGTTTATTATTTTTAATAACTCTCAGTCTGTCCCTGCTGGTTGTGCACACCATGGAACACAGGTTGGTAAGACAGACTCAGCTAAAACAGTGCCTTTTATTGCAGATACAGAACCGCCTCTGTTTATAGGTGAGCTGCACACCTTTGCATTGAATTCCCAAAGTTCCCCACCAAAGCCACAGAATCTGTCCAGATTGCCCTGCTGCAGGAGACCTGAGAAGTGGGCTTGGCTTGGTGTGCCTGGGCAATACCCACTGCTGCTCTCAGCTGCCCTCTCTCCAGGGGATTCTCAGCGACACTGGAAAGTGCCCTGCTTGCGTGCTCTGGCTGAAGAGATTTTTCCCTTTGCTGTACCTTGGTACAGATCCAGTTCTCTCTGGAGGTTTAGCCCTCATGGCAGTGTGAAACCCCATAGGGCACTTAGCAGTGTCAGGCCACTTCCTTGTGCCACAAAATGTCACCACTGCTCTGTTCCCCCACATCATTCTCACTTCCCCGTCAGTCTGCTCTCCCAGGGTTTGGCAGGAAGGGCCAAACTTGTGATAAACTTCACCTGAGACTCAACCTGTGCCTCATCCTGAARACTCTGTGTTTGAGCAGCATCCCTGTCACTGTCACTCAGGCCTGCCCTGGCTGTGTGGTGGGGCAGGACCTGCCACATGGAGTTACCAGGAGTTTCTGAGCTTTAGCCCTCCGGGAGATGCTCCGTGCACCTCTTTGCACCTGGAGAACCTGTYTGCTGGACATGCAGATAATCCACTGCAGAAAATTGTACCACAAACATGAGCWTGGTGCTTGCAGAGAGCCTCAGTGGAAGGGGAGCCAAGATTTACTGCAGAAATTGTACAGYTCTTGCTGTGATTCCTCAGAATTGAGCTCCATGTTTGAACCGCAGCTTTTTCTGAAGAAAAACTGCAACATCTGCATATTTCCAACCGCACTGATCCTGCTGTAGTGACCTCAACTGCARTCCCAAATCTTCAACCTGATTTTTCCTCTTCTTAATTCAGTGGGATCTTTGCCTGTACTGAGCAGGACTGGACCATCTGTGTACATCCAGGTCATGGAAAAATATTATTTCTGAATTAAATGAGATCAGTGTGTCCCCAGTGTAGAGGGACTGCRTTTACAGTCCCAACCATTTCCACACATAGTGGACTTTTCCGCACTGGGGCCTAAACCTGAATCAGGAATGGTGGCATTACATTTAATCAGAGCAGGATTATATGTGTTATTTTAGCCGATCCAACATGTCACAAAAATGCGTTGAATCTTTTTTTTTAAGAGAGAAAAATAAAACATATGGTTATATAATCAGTGGGAATCACTAGACACCTACTCAGGAGAGCTGCAAGCATGGAAATACTCAGATACATATTTGAAGTAACAYCACAGGTTTTTGGGTGGGATTTTTAGCCCTGCTACGCTACGTCTGGACAAATAATTTGGATGTTGACCACTCAGGTAATGTAATCCAAAATCCTGTTGCCCATGTTGCAAACAGAAGAGGAGGAAAGAACATTTCATTCCCATCTCAGGCGGAGCAGAGCACAGTTAGGGTGTTTCATTGCAGGCAACACCACTGCTGTAACCCAGCASAGCATTGGTGGGGGAGTGTGCACTGAAATTATTGCTCTTCTGCCAAAGAGCTGAGGCAGAACAAGTTCTTTTTTTGCTTTTTTTGCTTTTTTTTCCCCTTCTCATTGACTGCAAAGCATAAAAGCAATCAGTGTTCCTGCAGTGCAATAGAAACTGCACGTGTGACAGCAGCACCCTGTCATGCTGTTGTTTCTGTGCACAGAAAGGGAGGTCTAATGTGTCTGGGTGGGAGGTGATGGAGGTGCACAGGATTTCCAGACTGGCCAGCTGAATTTTCCCGTTGTGCTACTGTGCCTTTCATCAGCTGCAGGACAGTGATCTCAGGACTGAAGCCAATCCAGGTGTACTGAAGATGTGATAATGCATGAGTTATCGTTCAATCAATCACAGAATCACTGGGGTTGGAAAAGACCTCTGAGATCATCGAGTCCAACCTCGATCACCACCTTGTCAGTCAGACCATAGCACTGAGTGCCACATCCAGTCATTTCAGCCTGAACCTATCAAAACTCTGAGGACAGATCTAATCCCATCATTGATTAGCATCTCTCTTTTTTATCTATTTTAGCACTTAGCTTCTAACACTTGGTGGAAATTTGAAAGGCTGGAAGTGGCCACGGCACCCTTGAATAAAATGCTGTCYATTTTACAAGAGGCCAATTCATGTATTTGTCTGTAAATCTCACAGTACCTCTTTGTTTAAATACTTGCTCCTTATTTAGGATTATTGACTAAAGTMTTTTATTCTTGACATCACCCACAGTTTAAAAAAGAACCTTTCTCTGTGTGGAGAAGCTGTCCATGAAGCAGCTCCTCAAGCTGGGGCAGCTCAGTGGCTCCCCTTGGATTGGTAACACTGAACTAAGGACAGGTTTTTTGGGAGGGTCTTTGTGGTTACCTGCATTCTTTTGGTCTAAGCATTAAKTTCTTAGGCAGAAACATGATTTTTRTATAATGATTTMTTTTCCTGATAAACAGATTTTCTGATGACCTTTCCAAACAATAGTTGGGAACCTGGCTCTGATTCCAACCTAAATCCATCAATGGCATCTCTTACTAATCTTCCACCACTGCACCCCTTTGCCTTCAGAGTTCTTCACTCTTTAGACAGAGACACAGAGCTGCAGCATACTCTMAGTTATAGCACTACCAAGCAACCCAGGGATTTCTGCCAACTTGGAAACAAGATATGAACTAAAGGGTTTCTATTTTTGCATTAAAATGGAAACAGGTGGGAAGGATGCGTGGAATTTATCAAACCAAATAAAATTTTTTTTCATGTTAAAATTCGTATGGAATGGAAATTGCACTCTTCCAGTGTTACTGCAGAGCAGCAATATTGGGTTTCTCCTTACTCAGCCTTTAGCAGTAAGGAACCAGCTGCAGTGGAGCTGGAGTTCTGGAATTTGCTTTCTAACCCCATCTAAATCTCTCCTAGGTCTGCCCTATTTTGAATTATTGCTCCACCTGGCACAGGGGATGTTATTGACTCTGGAAAGAAGAGTCAAGTCTTGCAACAGTTTTTTTATAGATTGCTAACTGGAGAGTAAGAACAGGAACGAACTGCTGGATGGCAGAAATGAGTGRTTTTCCCTATTCCTRCCTAATTTATGGCAGTGAACCTCCRCTCCCACACTGAGTTAGGTGCTTTGGCTCAGCTCAGGTATTTGCTGTGTGTTAGCACAGAACCAGTGGGTGGTGGAGAGACCAGAGCCACACCAAAGCTCTGCCTTTTGAATCAAACCTCTCCCACCCCCTTCCTATCTCCACATCGGAACAAAACCTGAGGGAAGTGCCCCAGCTGAGGTGGAGCATGTTCCTAAGAGGATTTACTAAAGTAAAAACCACATCCAAAATATATTTTTTTAATTATGACACAGTATAAATGGGACAGACTTTACCAAAACACTGGGTTATTCATTGCCCAGAGGGTAGGAGAAGCTGCAGCACTGGTTGGACAAATAAGTAACAAAATGGATGGACAGACAATCTAACAGACTCCTGACTGCCTTCACTTACCCTTAATTAATTGTTTCCAGTAAATAGCCCTGGCTCTGTCATTATTTTAGGAAAACAGAAAACATTGATAGAAGTACTACAAATGTTGCCATCAGCCCTGCCATAGATCTCATTCATCTGAAATCCCACTGGAATGAAACAGATTGTCCAACTGCATCAGTTCAGCTCAGSAAAGAGCCTGTAACCATGGCCATGAACTGTTCCAGTCAAATGTCCTGCATGGCCCATTCCATGGGACTCCCARCATCTGCAGGGTTCCATGCCACAGGCACCAGGGCAGCCTGCCAYCCTGGCAGTGAGCTGTGGGTCTAAATGAACATAAAAAGGGATTCAAACACTTCTCCTGATGTCAAATTGAATTTTAATTTGACTTAAGGACAGCTTTCTGTTATGTTAAGGTTTAGAGGATTGACTAGTAATGTTATATATATAATTTAATTTTTAAACCATTTTATGCTTCCCAGTGTTTCTTGGTTTGCAACAGAATCTGAAATGCAAAGAGCAAACTGCAGAAGTTGTGTGGCTGCAAGGTCTTTGAACTCCRTGACACCAGGAGGAGATGAAAAGCTCCCAAGACAGGCTGTTCTCCTGAGGCTCTCATCCCAATTTCCAGGAACTGAGGCAGGTCAAATGCATTCAGGGGGATGGACTGAGGGAGGAAATATTCAGGTACCATTCAACTATGYAACCAAACCATTTGAGGTTTGCCTGTCACTTGTCTAGACACATGTTTCAAAAGGSAATCAAATAAAAGGAAGAAAAATACCCTGTCTGGGAATTCTTACCCGGTGACTTGTGCAGCCCAAGAGCTGGGTAATTCTCCTCAACTGAATAAACATCGAAGGGAGTCTGAGAGCAATTTGGCTCCAGAGCAAATATTGTTCCTGAATTCTTTGCACCTGCAATGGGCAGGGAAATTATAATAGACCCTCCCCACGTCTTCCCATCCCAGACCTTGGAAAGCAGCCAGGAAGCATCTTACATCTGCCACAGCAGAAATGTGAGGGCTGGGCTTCAGATGAGACCCCTAGTAAAATCACAGCCCCATCCCAAACCCACCTGTCTCCAAGGAAAGGAAATGTGGGAGTTATCTTCATAGAGAGGTAGCCTTGAGGGATTCAAGGAGCAGTTGGAAAGAAGAAATGAGCTGTGGGTAATGGTGCCTCCTGTTCCCACCTCAGGCACATGAGCACCTCAGGCTGAGGCCCCTGTGAGCACATAAATTTGAATCTATCAGCACTGAGGCTGCTCAGCTAACAGATCATCAACACAGAGAAGAAACTGGGGATGAATTGTTGTATTTTTAAATGTTTCTGCTGTAAAAGTATTTTTTCACTGGGAGAATCTTAGGCAGAAATGTAGTAGCCTAATAAAGCGGTTTTGTGTCACACTTGGAATTTGAATCAGTCCTAAGTCACAAGTTACTGGGCTTATGCTACTCTTTGAGGATATTTTACTATAATTTTTAGTAAATTTAGTGAAATTGCTGCAGTTCTTTCTTGTACAGAGAGCTTTTCAAGTTATTTGCATTTATGAAAAGCACAGAAAAAAAATAACTGCATTCCACTGGAATGGCTTGTCCTCAGTACATCAAACTGTTGCATCACAATTTGCCATCCTGCATTGCACTAGTTGTAGAATTCAGTCATTTCGTCCTAATGAGGAATAATTTGCATTTAAAATAAATAATAAATAAATAATGTATTTGTTTATTATATGAAGTATATGTAGTTCATCAGGCTGGTGCTGAGGTGGCTTTGCTCACTTGCAGCCCCAAATTCCTGTAGAGTAACAATAAGGGTGGGAAGTTTTACACTGTGAGGAACTCACTGCCTTAGGAGGGTTTTTTWAAATTYTGTTTTTAAATTATGCCTACAAATGCATGCACAGGGTCCTTGTTTTCAATAATCTAACACTCTCCTTCTCTGTATCAGCAGGAAGGTTTAAGAACAGGTGACAAAAGAACAATTTGGGCTGTCACATAGAAAAAAATGCTGGGAAGAGGAGGAAGTTTCACCACAAGAAGACAGCAAGTATTAGGAAAAAACAAAGAAAGAGACAATACGTTATTACAGAGCTTAAATTCAAAAGAATTATGCCAATTTCAGTTAGCTAAGTAGCTGWAAAGACTACCAAATATTCCTTATGATTCTGAAGCATATTAACTTATAATTATTCCTATCTGTCCATGAAAATTAACCCTCACAGCAGCGCARTTTAATCACTGTGAATTCAGATTGGCAGAAAAAGTGCTCTGGGCTTTGTATCACTTGACTGAGCTTAGCAAATGAAAACACAGGAGATTTGGCTGATCCTTCACAAAGCTTTTGGGATGTGACATGATCAGAAAGGAGCAGGACAGTCTCGTGATTAGGTTTTGATTGCAAGATAGTGCTGAGCACTACACTGGACTCATGAGCTGTGCTGCTTCCGAGCCCCTTGTGCTTCTGTTCGTGCTGTGGTGGGGAATGAGAGCCATGAACATGATCCCTCTTTGCCTGTTTTGTCCATTGGGACAAGGAGCAGGATCTGCCCCAGCAGTGTAGGRATGTGGTTCCTGCAGGCACACAACTAATTCGGGAATGAACCTGAACAAAACCTGATGTTTTGTGCCCAACCAAGGGAAGGCACCCTGCAAACCCAGTGCATCCAGAAGTGTTCTGTTCCTCTGGCCACACTGGCAGACCCACAGTAACCTCATCCATCTGGTACACCCAACCATTCATCCCTGCTGAGGATATTCCCACAGTGAATGGGTGAAGCATCCCAAGCTCCCCAGAGGAGCAGCCCCATTAGCAGAGCCCCTGACAGACTGAGCCCAGACTTCCCTGCAGTACCAGAAAACCATCATGAATCTGGCCCAAACTTAAGGCACAGTGGGCAGCATTTAATACAAGGAAGGAACCAAGGACTGAATTAGTATCCCACGAGGTTGTTTGGGGTTTTTTCCACCTCCCAGATGAAGTGAGGAGCCATGTGGAGAAATCCCGCATCTGCCTCTGAATCTTCCCAAACGCTCTCWAGGTTTTACACTTTGAAACAACTTCATTACCTGCCCTTTTTCTTGTTGCCAGGAGAGGTTAACRAAATTACCGAGGGATGAAACATTCTTGAAACATTCTTTCTGGTTGATCAAACAGGATTAGCGGATGAATTACACAGCTGTAGCACACCTAGAGCAGAGGGGCAGGGGGCTGCACCATCGCCTTGTCCTGTTCATGGAGTCACAGCAGAGCATGGGGTGTGGACACACATGCCTTGGTGGCTTTGGAGAGGAGGGGTTATCCAAGTGCTCATTGCCGAGGGCTGTCCCGGTGCTGGGCTTGCTCTGTGCTTGGCCAGTGCTGCTCTGGTGCTGCTGTGAGCGGGCACACACAGGGAAATCCTCCCTGACACGGGTCCCCTTTGCCTGCCCGGCTGCAGAAGGGCCAGGTGAGCCAGCAGGGCAGRGCTCCATGCCTTGGCAAAGTTCAGCTCTCTCTGAGCCTTCACCTCCTCACTGGGGAAGGCTGTGCTCCTTGGCAGCACAAAGATGTGATCACCAAGTTCTAAATCCCCACAGGGAATGGCTTGCTCCGCCTTTCCCCATGAAAAGCTTCCCACCAGACAAGCACCCTTCCTACAAAATCTTTTTTTCAATAAACTGCACAGGTCATCAAAACCATCCTCATTTGACTTTGCACAGCACTGTTGCTCTTCCAGCAACCTGCCCTGCATCACTGACAGGTACCAGTCTTCTCTTGTTCCCACTTTTTGTCTTTGCTTTTGATCTGTCACCACCAGTGGGTTACAAAAATAAAGCTCTGCATGTTCCTTGACAATTATATTTGTTTAGGTGGCCCTGGCAGCCCAAAGCATTTATGATCACTGCAATTTGAAACTTATTGTTGCAGTCTTGGGTATGTCCTGAAAATAGAAATTAAAACTATTGGGAAACACAAATGTTCTATAGATTATATGCATGTCTTTGAGAAGTAGTAGCAAGCTAAGCAGAAGGTAAGAGGAAAAACAGCAGAGAGATCAAAATCTAGGTCAGAGCAAATGTTGGAAAAGAGCCCACACTGTCAAGTCCCAGTCATCTTACAAGAGAAAGAAYGAAGGGGAGCAGAAAGGTTTGGTTTTTGTTTTTTTTTTTTTTTTAATAGGAGTAATAGTGGCCTTTTAAAATACCCCATATTATGGATTAAAAAGACATTTCAGTAATGCTATCACTACATTCCATCTGCTTCTAGGACAACCAATATTGGTTGCTAATTTTACAAATGCTTCCTTACTTGTGTTGCTGGCTTGTGCTTGTCTTGCCCTGCCCCTCCTTCAGTCCCGGCCTCACCTCTGGCTCGCTGCTCCCCACTGCGTGTCTCTCCTGCTTCAGACATGAAAGACCGAGCCCTTTGGTCTGCTCAGTGCCCACCAAAGGAAAACAAACCCCTGTCTTTCCTCCAGAGCAGCCAGACTCCGTGTTCCCATGCACAGGAGGTCACTGCCAGCAGGATCTGTTTGCCCTCCCTACACTCCTCTCTCAATCTTTATTAAACCTTAGACACAAGAGCTGAGTTTTCTGGATCCCAAGCATTTGGGTGCTGCATGTTTCACACCAGTTAACCCCAGCAAAGAGGGAAAGCAAAGCCCGTGGCTGCTGCAGGAGGCAGGACCCCATCCCAGAAGGTGCAGGGATCAGAGCAAGCCGAGGCACAGCCTCTGCCATGCCCACGCCTCTGCCTACACTGGAGCATCATCAGGTGCCAGGSCTGGCCTTCCAGGTGAGAGCCACAGCCATTGAGCACCGAGGTTAATGCTTCACTGAAGCCACGGCCTTAGGCGACGCTTTTTCAAAAGCAGCGGCATTATTTTAAAAGCTTCACTTTCAGAAGTAACTTAAGCACTTAAATAGTAAGTCTTACTGGATCACAGAGAGGTTTACACCCTTGACTGCCTTAAGTTACCTCTGAAATAGGCTTCAGGCTTCAACCATTTCACCGATTCTCTGACTGAGCTACCTGATCTTTAGCATGGGGACTCTCACTCCGTGAGGTTGGGTTTTAAATCCATGCTTAAATCAGTGGCTTCTCTGGGTTCCAGTATGTTTGAAATAATGGTTGGCCTTTTTATTGTGGGGCTGACCCTGCATTCCTCGTGGAGTCAAAGCTCCCTTCACTTCTGAAAGGTCCAAAGAAAAGCAGCCCACCATCTTGTTGCCAAATCATTCTCCATGGGAGATTGGATTTGAAACTCACAAAATACCAGGATTTATGAGAGGAACTGGCTGCAATGTGATCACAAGAACATACCAACATTGTAGTTCCCCACCCTTTGATCTTGGCACTTTAATGATTAATTAGTGCTAAAGTACTGGAAAAATACCTCACTTGAGACAGTTTAAAGCTTCTCTTTGTATAGATACAAACTATGACTCACATGAAAGGATAACCCAGAACTGCAAGAGGGTGAGATTAACGCAGATGCCTCTGGTCACATGCAGATGTTTGCCCAACTGGACAAATGGGAGAATCTGATCAGCTTTAGGGACTGTTTCCATTGAGCTGCCTACACTTTCTACTCCTTGCTCTGCAAGAAAGGCTGTCAAAGTGGAGGGAAATCCATCCCTTAGAAAGAGACACATGTACAAGGAGGTGTGATTTTTAAAGGAGCATCACAGCCTGGCAGAAAATATTCCTTGCCTGAGCTGTTTCAAGAGAAGCCATTTTCCCCTTCCTCTGTCACAACTGTGYATTTAAATACTTCCAAACATGTGTGCTCCCTTCCAGCAGTGCTCAGGACAAAGTATGACATAAGAGGGAAAACTTTTTGCTTAATCTTTCATAGTTTACCAAAAATCTGGTGCTGACTTACATATCACAGCCCTGGCTCTCACCCTTCTTTGGCCACCTGTGCCTGTGGTGGAACCACTCAGGGACACAGGACAGGACAAGAGCACTCAATCAGAAATGGCTGAAGTGCCTCCTCAGACAAAACCCAAGGCAAAGCCCACAACCAAAGCTGTCTGTAACCTTTCTTCTCCTAAAGACCTATAGGCCAAGGCCTCCCAGCACTGGGTTGGGGCAGGGCAGGGCTTCCAGGCTGAATTTCC